ACAAGCCACGGCACTAATTATCAAGCATTTAATCACATTTACATAAACATTTATTGTTGAATTGTTGACAGTACCAAAAATAATGTTTGCAATACAAAATTTTGATTTATAAGTTTCAGATTTTGATTAATTAAATGAACACTTATTGTGTAAAGTGTATTTTTTATGAGAAAATTTTTATAGTAAGTAAAAATACTTTGGTGAAGAAACTAAACATCTGGTAATATACAGCTCGAAAAAACAAAGGTGACAAATGAGAAATAGAAAATAGAAAAAGAAACAGTGAAAGAGAGGGAGGCAAAATCTAAACAAAGGCAAAATGTCTACTACCCTTTAGTCTGAAGGTAACAAGTAACAAAAAGCCATAATTAAAGTGATAATTGATTGAACAGAAAAAACACAACGACACAATGAAGGTGGTATAGATCTAAAGAAACCGATAAAGTAGCATTTATGATATAGATACTGAGAAACGTAAAGAAGGCAGAGAAACAGACACAAATAGACAAAAAACAAATTGAAGGCAAAAGCAGGGAAAGAGAGAAAACAATAGAAAGAGAGAGATATATATATATATATATAAGTAGGAAGAGACAAAGATCTCGCAGAAAAAACAACTAGTTATAGAAGCAATTTAGTCTAAAGAAAAGAAAATAAATTTAAAGAAAAGTTATACTGGATTAAAAAGATCAAAAGAGGAAAGCATTCAGAGAAAGACACGGAAGAAATTGAAGAGACAGAACAAAATACACCTAAGGAACAAGAATAGCAGCAGATAAAGAGAGAAATCTGACAAATATGCATAGAAACAGATGATAAAAGAAAAAATATACGGGCAAAAAACATAGCAAACAGAAGAGTGGACCCAGAAAGTAAAAGAATGGACAGAGCTAGAGACACAAAGAAACTCATATAGAAAATGTGATAATTATACAGAGACAGATAAACAAAAAGATATAAGAATATAACGAGAAAGAATAAAGCAGAGAAAAAGAGACGGAGACAATTAAATACACAGAGAAATAAAGGAGATAAAAATATTGGAGGATGTAATACAAAGAAACAGACACAGAAGCATATAAACACACAGAATAAGAAGTGAGGCAAATAAAGACAATGGGATAGGCAAAAAGAAACAAAAGACAAAACTTGCATACAGAAAAAATGACTGGCGCAGTATATAATCCTCTTTATTAGGTAAAAAAATTAAGAAAAGTTATTGTAATTGATTGATTGGAAGATGGACAAAAGAACAGATGTATACAGTGAAAAAGACAGAGAAAGAAAGATGAAAAGGAAGATCTAGAAGTAGATAAGAGATGATCAAATGAGAAACGTGCAAGGGAAGGGATGAACGAGAGTGGCAGTGCAAGGGGAAGGGAGGAAGAAATAGATAAGGAGTAAATAGAAAAAGAGAGTAAAGAGGCAGCGGAAGAGACTGAATAAATGACATAAACTGGTACAGAAAGTAACAAAAACAGATACAGAGAAAGGAAATAATTGAATTGTATTGCACATCCTAGTAACCCGTCAATTTAGCTAATACGAAAAACACTACTCTTTTAGTACCGTAACTTAATGTTCATGTTTAAGTAGGTCAAAAATTTGGTAGCAATTTAATATATTAACAAGTAGTATACACTGCATTCTATACGAAAAACTTCTACTAAAGACTAGGAAGCCACTTAAAATATATAAGAATGTTTTGGCAGTAGATTTAAAGCAAAAATATTCTAGTAATACATAAGGGTAATAAGTTTATGAGTGTTTCTTATATGTGCAGTTAATGTGCGTGGATATTACGTTTTTATAATGTTTATTAATATTTATCACAAATTTTGAGCGACTATACTACTGATTCTAATAATATTATAACAAAATTATTTAACATAACTTTATAAAATCTCATAAAAGTTTATATCTGTTAATATTGTAAAGCTACAACCACACGAATGGTTTTATTAACAATTCTTAATAATAGATGGCGTTCCCAACGTTTTTAATGGACCGCAGGAGTGTGACGTCACGACTGTCACATTGTCATTATTACTTTCCAAACAAAAGTTGAGATGTCCAATCTCAAGACTTTTTAATTTCTATAAAGTTAACATTTTGCTTCCTCTGCTGCTTTTTCTTGTAAGCATAGTGTTTTTTACGATAATACCATCATAATTCAGAGTTCTATTTCTATGAAATATAGTTTTAAAAGTTTAAATTAAAGAAATTCTAACCTTACTTTATTGATACATGCCTTTTATTGCTATTAGCATAAAACAATGTGCTTTATTATTTACACAACCTTGTAAAATTGTTGTAGTAACTATTAGAATACTTAAATATTGCCAAAAGCAGAAAGATTCTATAAAATAAATGAAAAAATAACTAAAAATACAAATTATCCACACTAAACAAGGTTTGTTTGGAAAGTGAAACTGACAGATGTCAATAAAATCTACGTCATCACTCCTGTGGTCCATTAGATGCGCGTCATAAAGTACTTGACTTGTAGAAAGCCCTGTACTATATTATGACTGATAAACATAGAAGAAAATTAATATATCATAACGGGTGAGAAACAATAATTAAAAACCAATAAATCCAAAGTAGATGCAATTATCATTAATGCAAAAATTCAGAGAATTTAACAGACCGATACATGTATTTTATAAATTTAAGCATTCGACAAGGTTCTAGTCAAAGACTAATCAATTAATGAGGTAGAAAAAATTTCAGATAGAATCAGATTCTTAATCCTATAGACTACTCCACATAGCTATTTTTTTTTAGTAAGTATGGAGACTTGCCTAAAGGTTTTTTTCTTAGTAAAGTCGGACTGTTATCAATGTTTCTCTATAATTGAGGCTTTGAACGGAGTTTGCTCAATCGATATACCTTTCTTTTATGGATTTTACGTAAGAATTCGACAAACTTAGAGTGAGAGACCAATAGTTTCTATACAATTCTTGTATTAATGCCGGATCTGAAAACAAACATCTCCGGTTGTTCGAGGCGGTAGTTTTTGCAGCCGGATTAGCGAAAGCTGAGTTGTTAACACGAGGGCAATATTCACTAGAACAAAGGATTTGGTGCACAAAATTAACAAAAAGGTAAAGAGGACACACATTAGTATTTTTCCCATTTACCTCATTTAATGTACTGAGTAAGAGCTATTTTTCACGGATCTAGGAACTATTGACAGTTTTATACAACACATTACATATTTTGCTAAATATATCAGGTGTATCGACGATTTCTAACATAAAATGGATATTGATTGACTTATTATAAGCTGTTATTGCATTTAACGCCTGATACGAGAACATACCTCTCCGGTTTTTCGACGATGCGGAAGGACAATCTTCAGTTACGATGAAAGATTTGGTGTACACCATTAATTAGAGAATAAAAGAGCAGAGACATTAATATTTTTCTCATTTACCTTGTCTAGTATTTTTAGTAAGAGCTGTTTCACACGACCCGGTTTTTAGCCGGGCATAGAGCAGGTTGATAAACCGGATTTATGAACTGTTGAAAGTGTTTTATGCAATATTATCTGATCTTGTTAACTAAACTTGGAATATCGACGCTTTTGCACATAAACTTGATATTAATTGATTTGTTTGGAACTTTAGATAAGCACTGCCGTTTTTCTCAAGCTTGTTATATAACCGGATTGGAAAAAAAAACGTTATCAAGGGACTAATGAAACTCATATAATCACCGGATTATTTGGCTGAGAGCAATTTAATAACCTTTCTTTCGCCCCAAGACAGATATTTCTTGATTTATTCTCAACAATTTCCCCGTTAAACGGCTGAACTTTAAAGAGACATCATCGGTTTTTCACCGAAGCGGTTTTTCAGTCGGATTGGCAAAAAATCGGTTGATTAATAAAACGGCTATCTTCATTCCCGAAATATTTGGTAATGCAAAAAACAGAACGGACACTGATCTTATACTTACTTACCTCTTCACGATCCGATTTTTAGTTGAATATAGAGCCGGCAAATTAACCGGATCTATGTCCGGTTAAGTATTTTATGCAATACTATATGTTTTGAACAGTTCCTACGTTGAACGTCAGATTTTTGGAAAGGTATCTCCGGTTTTTACCAGATTGGTGGAAAATCGTGTTAACTAGAAGCTTAAGCTAATTAAACTCAAGACAGGATCGAATAATTTGGCTAGGAACAATCTAATGTGTTAACAAGAAGCTTAAGCTAATTAAACTCAAGACAGGATCGAATAATTTGGCTAGAAACAATCTAATCACCTTCCCCTTCGAGAGCAATGACACCTTGTAGTGTTAAAGGGACTCTTTATGCTCAGCTATAGTAGTTAATATACGAGGTGAGGACGGCTCTCAGCATGTGGGGCTTTGACGGAAGTGACCATCGATCCTCTAGCTTCTCATCAGACAAAAATTGACCAGCAACAATCTAGGCAGTCCTATAGTATGGAACTTAATGTAGCTGCAGATCACACTTCCATGGATGAAAAAGAACTATTGAAAAGTACCTAACAAAACCGCGATTAAGTTAAGTACTGAAAAAGCGAGTAAGTGCTGCTGAAATAAGGCCTCCATCGAAAGAAGGCACTAAAACCTATTCAGGTAGCCACAAATATAGAGCTAAGGTGTACAAAAAAGATTTTTAAGGACATAGTGTGATGTCACTATAGCAAGTATGTGATGCCAAATTACTCCTTTATTTACAATCTACAATCAACGTCCTTAAAGTCTTGATATAGTTCTCAACGACTACGAGTTGTTTCTGTATTTGTAGGACCTGCCTCATCAAACCTGCGATGACAAACAACAGAGTTGCAATTGTTGTACACTCAGATAGCAGCTGTCTAATTGTTCATGAAAATTTAAAAAAAAATTGTAAGACACAATAAATGTCTCAATGTTGGTGAAAATTATATATAAAAAAAGTAAATTAAAGCAAATTCCATGTTAAAATAAAATTGTAAAAGTTCTAATTGGTTTCTTTTTATTTCTAAATGGTACTTACTTCAAAAACATACTTCGTGTAAAAAACATACTTATATATCAACAGCGACCATAAACTTGATCAAAAACAATTTAATCACAAAATATCACTCGATTTTAGTAATCTTGGAAGACATCTGGCGATTAATAATCACCAGAGACGCCACTAAGGGTAATACTGAGAATAGGACGACGGCATGGTGGCCGATCTGATTACACACGACGCCAAACATAATAGGAACAGTCAAGCCAGCACTTACGCTTATAGATTCGTTCGTTTTCTTCAGATCATTATTATTTCGTTCCGTCAAGATGTCCTCCCATAGATCGAATATCAAAGTACGCGAGAGTACCACTGGAATGCAAAGCAGAGCGTAAAATACATAAGCTGGAGAATAACACGCTAGCAAGGAAGATATTAGGAGAACAGCAAACGAATAGTTTAATAGTAAATTGGGCGGAATGTTTGTGAGCTTCTTCTTCAATCTCTCACTGCAATAAATCCCTATAAACATCAGAGCGTTCATGTACGACGTCGTGTAACCGATAGCCACTGAATCTGCTTCATAATTGTGCTTCAATATTTGAGTAAACTTCGAGAAGAAAATCGACGTGCTGGCACTGAAACAGTACTTAATGGCCATCACGTCCCAGTTTGTCTCGTAGTTGGAGTTGTTGAATTCAGCTACGCTGCCCTTGACTGTTTGTGCTGCCCTCTGGAATACTGCTATGTCGCTGCCCTCTACTGGACCGTCATCGATGTCCTTGACGAAAGTTAAAATACCTGAAAAATTGAGATTCGTTACTGGGTGACATTTAAAAGTACCATCAATCCATTAGTCTAGTCTGTGTGAAATGCAATCTCCAAACTAGGTAGCTTTTTTTTCCAATATAAATATATTAAATGTTTTAATCTGTTCATTTTCTGTCTGTTGCTGAAGAAGATGTAACATCACTTCTGTCACTGCTGAAAGTCATTAAATATAATATTTAAATACATACCGATGCTCAAAATGGTTAGGAATGCTGCCAAGAAGCAAGGAATAGCGAAACTAACGTCAAATAGACAACCAGCAACGATCGGTCCTATCAAATAGCCAGCACTGGTTATAATATGGAATGTCATCAATTGGAATTGAGTATCATCTGCTGGTGTTCTTTTTAATATCATAGTTTTTAAAATACTGCTAGTTTGATTTGTAGAAGCTAAAAACATAAAAAGATGAATGAGTATGAAATAATCATAATCGAAAATAGTTGAACGTCACTCCGGAATCAAATCGGCAGTCATATAAGTGGATAGTGCCCGGAGAAAGCCGTGAAAAGCAACCAAAGACGCAACAAATCGCCAGAAAGGTTATGACCTTTGGATTTTGAGCGTTTGAAGACTTAAATCGCAACGAAAGGGTCTCATTTTTTTTAAGAAAAAATTGTTGTTCCATCAAGATAATTTACCGTGTCACAAGTCGATGAAAACGACGGCAAAAATACACGAATTGGGTTTTGAATTGTTTTCGCATCCACCTTATATTCCAGATCTGGCCTACAGCGACTTCTACGATGAGAAAGTAATCACCGAACCTGAAGATTATTTTGAAGGCAAAGATAAATCGATTTACAAGGGAGGCATCAACAATTAGAAAATGTTGGAATTATTGTATCGTCAATACATGAGATTATTTTTGCGAATAAAGAATAATACAATGCACCGTGTAACAAGACATGAAAATGATGGCAAAAATGCAAGAATTGGACTTTGAATTGTTTTCGCATCCACCTTATATTCCAGATCTGGTCCCCAGTGACTCCCATCTTTCTTCTGATCTAAAAAAATGCTTTGTGGCAAGAGATATTGCTCTAATAAGGAAGTAATCACCGTAACTGAAGACTATTTTGAAGGCAAAGATAAATTGTTTTAATAGGATTTTTACCCCGGACTTATCGACTGACGTAATAACAGTAGCTTATTTCCGATGATAATAAAATACCGCCAAAAATGTTCAAACACTCAACAGAAACTAAATTGCTTTACCTTCGTTAAATTTAAATAATTACTTACCAAAAATACATCTTGCAAATATAGTGAACCAATAACTGTTGGTTACAAATAATAAAGAATGGCATACACCTGCGATATTTAAAATAGAGTACAGAGCTGCTTTTCGTCCTTGGAAGTTTACTAAATCTCTCTAAAATGTTATAAAAATATTAATACTTTCGTTAACGAACAAACCTTAGTACAGCAAATAGTAATTATGCTGAATTTTCATCACACAGTCATTAAAATGCATTGGTTTAGTAAAACGTGACAATGAAACAAATATTACTAGTACTTAGCACTAATTAAAATTTCCCAGCCACGCCACTGAATAAATGTCATACTTCCAATTGTTTAGCCTGTGAAAGGAGTCCGGTGACTCAATGCGAAAATGCCTCATTTGTGTGAACTGATGAAACCTCTTCATAGGTTAAAACACTTTATAACAGATGATTTGATAGACAAATGTATACATGTTTAAATAAAATCATTTATATTACAATTTTCTAGAACCAGTTTATAAGGATGATACAATCCTTGATGGAAAAGAGATCAGAACTAGAAACACTGGGCAGAAACTATAAAAAGTATGTAATAATGTAAAAATAGTGTGTGGATGGCCAAGGAAAGTATAGAAGTAATCAGAATGACTCTGACATAAGCAGATGTCAGTGTTTGTCATGGAAAGTATGTCAAATCCAGTATAATCAGCCCAGAGGCTTAAGTGGGTAGTACATGTGTAGAGTGTCCATGACTTATGGCTCATCAAATGAATATGGGTGGAGAATCCAGTGGGCTACAAACCCAAAGGTCAGTTAACATTTAGATGGATGTCTTAAAAGGTTGAAACGCCATAGAAATATAAGACTGGAGAGAACATTTCATGGAGAGAAGTAGATGAATTCAAATCTCATAGGCAGCAAAGACCTATGAAGGTATAAAGCTGCAGAGAGAGTTTAATTGCTAGTTATAAATGACTGACTTTTGAGATTTTTAACTGAAAGAAGATCCTACATGTTACCTACATAGAGACAAATTATTTATATCTTGTAATTAGAATTAATAATAAAAATATGCTTACTACAATATCACCAGAGAGTAGTTGTGCTAATAAAGTTGTTACTGCCAAAATTCCACAAGTTACATTATCTCCACCTAGAACTATCATATACGGTGGCAGGAATGCATATATAAGGCCAAAACTCAATGAGTCCTTAAACAAAAAGATGATCAAATTTATTGTAAGCGTAAATATAAAATAAATGTAAAATACAATATTTTCTATGCTCTATATTTAAAGTGCTCCTTATTTTACTCATTTGTATGAATAAAATACTCTTTATACTTTACGTGACAAAAAGTCTACATAAACAAAAAGTTTTTAAGTCTATTTATACAGCAGTACCCCTCTGAGAGAATATGATCACACCAATATTTGTCATTTTTATCTTAATGTAAGTAAAGAAATATTAAATTTGGAAACTTGAAGCGTTTATATTTGAAATAATTGCTTATCAATTCTGTTTTATGATTTCTAGTGGTATCCAACTAATAAATACTGTTATTAATTATTGGATAGTTTAAAAATCATTAAGCCTGAAATGTGTCATATCTTAAGTGCCAAAATGTCAATATATTGAAGGCAGGTGGAGCTCCATCCAAAATCAATTAAATATATTGTATACAGCAAATATGATATCTCAATCAGATATAAATATTTCATATTTGTTTTATGGATCTCTTTAAAAAATGCAGGTTAAAGGTTTATAAATAAATAATAATTTCAGTAAATCAATTGTCTCAAAAGTAACCCAATAAAAAACTATAACATTTAAAAGAATGTAGAAAGATCCATTTAAAAAATACAAATACAGAGAATGTTTGTATGTTACATTTCTATTTACAAAATAAACATGGATTTTCCAAAAATTTTAACCTTGAACAGAATATTTTTAGAATTCATATTCTAGATTACAACAATCAGTGTACAGGTAAGTAAACATAACAAAATATAATAGGATTAAATACTTAATGTGTAGTTTATTGGCAAGGCAGATTGTAATTTTTTCTAAAATAAGTACAGTAACTATTTATGACACTATTATAGGTAATGAAGATTGTACTTACAAAAAGAGTTATGAGTTGAAGTTTGAAAATATCATCACCAGATTCCATTCTTGTAGAGTTATGTTTCAACAAATAAACATTTTTTTTTTCTAATTCACTAATGGTCTCTTCAGTGACTGGTGAAAAAACAAGTATGCCTCTTAATTTGTCAAGGCTTTTTTATCTTTGTGGTTTTACGCATCAGTAAATTGTTCTTAGTATAATAATATAATCTATTACAGTAAAGTAATTGTTTTTATTTGCATCATTATCTGAAAAACATTGTTGGAGTTGACTCAGTTGACAATTACTAGAATTTTGAAATTTCAAAACACTGAAATTTTTCTGACATGTAGATGTCATTGACGACCAGCTGACATTAAATGTCAGTTGATAAGAGATTTATTTAAATCTCAAATGCAAAATATAAATGTTTAGAATTGGTCCTTTACCTAATAAATAACTGAACAAAATAAATTTATAAACAAAAACAATGTGGTTAGGATTGTTTTTAGTTGTACATAACCTCAAAATACTTTATTTGATCACGTATTTTGACATTGGTTTATGTATCTCTAACATTAAAAGTTAATTTATTAATTATTATAATACGTCATTTAAAGCAATTCAAAAATGTGAAGGACAACAATTATTAACTATTTATCTTATCATTTCTACGTATATCACGTTTGATCAGTATCAAATACAAATAGTGCTGCACTTATATGGATTAAATAATTTAAATGAACCCTCTTTTGAATAATTTCAGCTACCATGGGTGCCACAAAGACCATCAATTTAATTTACATAATTTCTTTTATGGTAGGTATACTTCTAAAAAAATAATTTTTCTTCAATATGCCTAACACATTTGTAAATTTTTAAGGACTTATTTGCTGTTGGATTAACATTTCCTCTATTTGGTAATTATTTGAGAGACCTGGGGGCGTCACATACCACTATAGGATTAATTTCTTCAGCATATTCTGCAATTCAAGTTTTGTCGGGACCTCTCATAGTAAGTTGGTTTAATATCAATTACAGAAAGTGCAAAACTGCCCAAATTAGTTATAACTAAACCATTCATTCTGTGTTTAAAATGTCTGTCTCTAAATTATTATATATTTAGGTATTTCTACAATAATGTATATTGTAAACATTACAATATACAGGCACATAAATGTATCCTGCTGAGTTTTGAGCAAATTGTTCATGGTTAGTAATGACTATCATACTTGTAGTGCTCCAAAAAATCTGGATTATTAAAAAATTATCCCCTATCAGGGGACATTATCCTGGCGAGAAATGCTTAGGCAATACCTATTATGTTGATAAAAGGGATTAACATTGGTATAATGCAAGCTAGAAACAGATTTAAACACAGTCCATGACATTTGACCATCAATCTTACTATTACTTAACAATTTTTGTTTCAGGGTAGTTGGAGTGATATTAGAGATAGGAGAACTGTTTTAAAATGGACTCTATTAATGTGTGCAGGATGTTATGGTCTTTTAGGAACAACAAAGTCAATTGTTTTTATACTTTTACTGAGGTTTCTCTTAGGTGAGTTGAAAAAAACAACATACTTCCTAATTTTCTACAGATTAAACTATTATTAAGATCAAACAATGTAAATATAAAATTTTGCATATAAGTTTATCTGTCACTCTTCTCTATTTGGCTTTGGTTAACATAAAAAATCACACATTTTTTCCATTATTAAAAAATTTCAAAAGCAGTTCCACTTGAATCATCGAAATGTGTAAACTAATGAGCTCAAACTTTTATTAGGTAAAATTTGAAGTTGCCTTCTTTATACATTACATGGATTCATAAATTAGTAGCGAGACTTACAAAATAATTGTATATTGATGGTTTTATGTTTTGTTTTCTTTAATTATAGGTGTAGTCAAACATACTCAAAGTATCTGTAAAGCTGTGATAACTGATTTGGTTTCTCCAGAGGAACAAAATGACATTTTCGGAAAATCTGCTTCAGTTGCTTCATTAGGATTTATTGTTGGACCATTTGTTGGAGGAAATCTATCGGAGTTAAACCATGGATTCACATATGTGTGCATACTTACTGGATTACTCTTTATTATTAATTATGGTAAGTATTTCATTGACGTTATCAAATTTCAAAGACTATCTGTTCACTTCCAATATTTTGGAAGATTAAGGGCACAGACTTATGTACAGACTGAATTTTCTTCACAATTAGAGAAAACTGTTTTCCATTTGTCAATTATATAATAAAACAATTTTCTGTTGTAGTTTGTGCCTGTTATCTACCAGAAAATACCAAAGGAAGCAAACCACAAAACTCAACCAACAACGCCATTGGCTGGCAAACCATCACAGCTGAATTCAAAAAATCTGTTAATGAAATAGTGTCTATTGATTGGAAGGTTCATTGGGATACCTTCCTTCTAAAATTTCTCTTAGGTTTGACCATAACAGTGTACTTTTCAAATCAAGCCATTTATTTACGAGAAACATTCCAAATGTCCCAGAAACACATTGGATATATGATCTCTTTGTTCAGTACAATAGGAATGATATCTGGATTGTGTCTAAAAAAAGTGGATAGTTTCTTAAATAACGTGGATGTGTACGCAAAGATGGGTGTATGGTTTGGAGTTTTAGCCCTCTGTTTCATAGCAATGTACCTATCCCCGAATTTTGTAGTGTTTATGTTTTTCCTCGCACCACTCTCTCTGGCGGCCACAGCCATGAGAGTTGCCAGCATGGAATTGATGTTCAAGAAGACAGAAGCCTTGCATCGAGGATCACTGTCTGGAGCTTCGAACAGTGTTATGTCAGTGGCGAGGTTTATGACTCCCTTGTTTACTGGGATCACTAGTGACATTTTTAGTGAGAAATCTGTGATGTTAATAGCAGTTTTTCCTGCTAGCATAGGAATGTTTGTTAGTTTATACACAAAGAGAAAATATGATAAAACTGTTAAAAATAAATAGTATTTTGTTGTTTCTAGTTTAATTTCATACTTTTCACATCCAACAATAGTCTCCCCAAAACCACAAACATTTAAATTTTATCATTCTTAAACCAATTTTTGTCAAATACCTACAGCTCATATGTTTATCATGGCAAGTAACCCAAGGACAACTCCGGATATATTACTATGTTCTAAAAATATTACAAATAATATCATAAATGTATCTTTCTCTATTCATTTGTCAATAGAGGATGATACCTGGACAATTGTAAATTCAGCTTTATTATGCACAAATCGAAATTTTAAGAGTGTAAATGAAAGGTACAAAAGAAAGGACATTTTGTAGCAATATCTTGGAATTGCCAATGTTCAACCATCTTTAATAAAATTAAAAAGAAGAGTATAAATATATTTTATTTAATTTAATAATAAATTACAATTTTCCTAAAAAATCAAACCACAAAAATCACCTACAAAACTTACTATGTAATGTTGTATATAACTTATTAGCTTTCCTTAATCCAAACCCCGGCATTTCTGCTAATTGCAACTCAGAAGCTTGTAAAATACGGTCTAAGGTTTTAAATTTATCTATGAGCGCCATGGCATCTGATTTATTGACTATTCTTATAGATGTCAACACCTGTATCAGCTAAAAAGTTAACAACAAATATAATTTTCATAGGTTCCATCACACAAGCTGCTAAATTGGTCTAATCAAACATGAAGACAGAAAACTGCTAATATAGCGCCTTGAGTTAAGCGAAATCAAACATGAAGACATAGAAAACCTCTAATATATGTCCTTAAGTTAAGCGAAATTTAAAAATAGGACTGGTATACAGTGTACTTTTATCCAACAGTATATTTTACTTTGATAAATGTTAATCAAAAAAATTTCTCAAATACGCTAACATTTAAATAAAAAAAATCATACTCTTAAATATGGTGATGACTCCCCCTTCTCTTTTATATAATCTGCTGGTTTGTTCTCGTAAATTTTATATGTTTCTATTATCTTTCCGGCTTCTTCTGCACTCCATGCCAAAATTAGCGTTAAATCAGCCAATATACATATTCTTGTTAAATTTTTTAAAACATGATGGGGATCTTTAACATCTATCTAAAACACATTTGTCTCAAAACTTTGTATGTAAGGCAACAACAAATTTAAGAAAAATTACACAGCCAATAGATATTAGTACTTTTAAAAATGATAATTTTTTTATTTACGTTCTACAAGAAGTCATTTTAAATTACCTGTACCAATAACACCCTGAATTGATAAGATTGCCCTAACTTCTTAAGTCTGTCGTGAATATAATCCGGATTTAGATTATGGTAACGAATCGATAGGAACAAAGCACATGTAGTTGAACCCATCTCATAGTCAGGAGTAATGTCCCCGTACTCCCAGGGAACATTATGGATAGCTTTAAGTAAAGGGTTGCCTCTCTGTTTTGGATTTACTAAAATACAATGAGTTTTACTAGATACTTTGCTTTTATCTGTACTAGATGCTTCAGTTGAGGTACCTAAAATGGGTTCTATTAAAGACCATTAACATACATAATTTTAAGTTAAGATACTTTACTTGCATTTTGTTCGTCGCCAAAAAAATCAGTCTCAAATTCACTTGCAATATTTTGTAATGAATCATCCATAACTACAATAAATATTTTTGTTTTTATTTTTCATTTAATTTGAGGTTAATGTTTAGCACAGTACATAGCCCTTAGTAGGGTAAGTCCTATAGAAAGATTGTGGTTGTGGTAGAATTTCTAGCGCCAAATGCGGCCGGGCCGAAATTAATTTCATTTGGCGGCAAATTTACAACATAGGTTATGAAAGCATTTTTATATTTAAATGTATAATATAATATTCAGAGCATATATTATACCCCCATATATCCGGGATATATATTTTTTTAGTACTATGATGACAGTACATATTTTATAACTCTATTTGCAAGGGCGTGGATTGCAATGTTGCCACTAACACATTTTTTTTCGGTGGATACTTACAATTCTTTAGAAATAAGTTATTGTAAATTTAGTTCTGATTTTAGTAGAATTTGCTACAATCTCTGGTGTATGGAAAACATTGCATCATTAATATTTGGGTAAATATGCAAAATTAGTAAAAACATGGCAACAGCACTTACATCAACGTCATACGTCTCTTGCTATGTCATACCACAGAACAACCTTACCTAACGTGACTAGTAGCGCCGTTACCATTACGAACGGCTGGGCCAATGAAATTTATTCTTCCCACGTGTAGTATACCAGTTACACTACTATTTGTGGTATATACTGTGCTCGTCACTGAGGTTTGATGTTTGATATTCTGTCCAGTATTTGTGGGTATCAGAGACATCTCTGGTGGGGTATGTATTGTGTATTCTGTCTACTTAGATCATGATACTATGAATAACAAGATAGGATCTTCCCGTAGCCCAAAATCGGTCGTGTTCGCGCATGCCGTCATTGGAGAATATAATTTGAATCCTTGTTAAAGTTAAATGGGATTTGTATGCATTCTGTGATGAAATTACTGGACAAAAATAAGTTAAGAAGTTCAATAATTACAATAATTGTACACATAAGGATATCTCCAAACTATTTATTAAAGATTATTTATTGACACATACAAAAAAACTGACATTTCCAACGTGCAACTCTCCAATGACGTCACGACTTATGCGCAATATCTGATCTTCTTATCATAGTATTATGACTTATATAACGTATCAGATATCAGTGTGGCACAAAAATAAATTTTATTTTCACAGAGACTATTCCATAATTCCATAGGTTTGTAATGTTACTTTTTCTATAAAAAATAATTTATCAAGACATTTTAAAAATAAACACGCAAAAACTAAAGTTATATGATTGAAATTTCATCTCCGTAAACATGGTTCCGGCTTATTACACTAGTACCTCTATTTCATTCACAAATTTGGACAAAATAATATGTTTCAATATTTCCAAACATACTTAATCTGTTTTACTTGCCAACAATTCTTAACATTTGCTTGTCCAAATTAGTTCAATTATAAGATAACAATTAAAGACTAAAGTTGTAGTTTCCGTTCGAACGTGGAAATATTCAAAACTCTGATTGGCATTGGTTACGTTTGTAGTCGGTAGCTCCGCATTTGCTGACCTTTGGAGACCATTGAGACGCACGTTTAGTCACAGTATAAACCACAAATAGTAGCATGATACTATGAATAACAAGATAGGATCTTCCCGTAGCTCAAAATCGGTCGGGTTCGCGCATGCCGTCATTGGAGACTAGAATTTGAATTCTTGTTAAAGTTAAATGAGATTTGTATGCATTCTGTGATGAAATTACTAGACGAAAATAAGTTAAGAGGTTAAATAATTACAATAATCGTACACATGATATCTCCAAACTATTTATTAAAGATTATTTATTGATATATACAAAAACTGACATTTCGAACGTGCAAGTCTCCAATGACGTCACAAAAACATGCGCAATATCTTATCTTATAGTCATAGTATCATGAATAGTAGTGTAAGTGGTATAGAATACGTTTGGAGAGTGAATTGCATGAGTCCAGCCGTTCGTAATGGCAACGGCGCTACTAGTTCAGTTTTGCATTTTGAACCCACGTGAGGTACATAACCTTACATTTTCAAATATTTAAAAACACTATATTTTGTTTATATTTTTGTACCACTAGTCACTACCAAACGATTTTTAGAGATAGTTTTGATATAAAATATGGAATGTGCCGTATGCGGAGGCACTGATTTCACAGCGGAATCTGGCTACTACTTTTGTAACGAGTGCCAGACTCAAACTCAAGAGTTAAAAGAACATGTCTTTCAAGAAGAAGACAAATACATTAACATAAAACGTACAAAGAAAATTAGAAATGCTACGCCCAAGAAAAATGCTGAGCAAATCACCAGTTGGGAATGTTGGAATGTTATTATAATGATGTTAACAGAAGAACTGATCAATCTTGGAGTTGATAGATCTATCAAGAAAATTGTGAGGTGTTTATGGATGAGGTATTTGGAAAAGTTGGAAGTACTACATATGCAACATGATGAAAAACCGAAATTTTCTTTACTGAACATCAAAAGGTAGGAATAACTTTAATCATTTATGTAAGACATAAACATGAATGCTTTTTTACAATTTCTTGTCTTGTTATAGGGTGAATTGCCCAGTTGTCGGCCACTTAACTGAATTTTCCCATTAAACCGACGTTTAAAAAGACCTGATTGATTTAATTCTAAATTTGATCATTTTATCTGATAGCCTGTAGTATACTAAACTAATTTATGTCCATTCAAAAATGAGAAATCTATTTAGTTTCCTTTCCTTAAATAAAATATTAAAAATGTGCTTTTTGCCAGTTCTCGGCCACGTGGTTTTTTTCTCGGCCATGGACATGCCGGTTTTCGGTCGGGTGGCCGAAAACCCCCTTTTTTCGACCATGTTAATTAAACATTGAAATAAAAGTAGAAAATAATAACAAAATACCTAGCAACTTTATTGCATGTAAGCGGTAAAATATGCTCAAGCATACACTACATTTTTAAAACTAACAAATACAAAAAACACTTTGAAACTAAACAAAAATAAGTATAGGTATTCTTCAAAACAGTAGTAATACTTTTAAAGTTGCATTGATTGTCTTTAAACTCATTTGCACGAACTACATACAAAATTTTTGATTGCAGCTTCATCATACGATAAATGAGATAACTCAGTGCAAGCTAAATGAAACCACTTAGGGCATATATCACAACCTAAGTTTTTCAACAAATCATTTTCTGTATCACTTATTAATTCGTCTTCGCAAAGAGAACACATCAGTTTCAATTTCTTGGATACATTTTTTTTTGCTGTTTTATTTTTTTTCGAACTATTTGTACTTTGTTTTTCCTTTCTTTCATCTTTTTTCTTCTGTTGCGCTTCTTGTTTGTTCTTTTTCTCTTGCTCTTGCTTTTCGATATGTTTTCTCCACGCTTTGGACGAGATAGCACTCGGCAATTTTTCTTTCTTTTTATTTTCCGAACCTTTTTTTATAGGCTCCGGAAATCTGAGATGACGAGAAAATGGGCTTAACACTTCTTTAACTTCCACAGTTTTTGTAGGGGTTTTTTCTTGGGACCATTTTGGTGCGTAGTCCTTAGTTTCAGCTTCAGTTTGTAGATTCTTTAATGGCGTTCTTACTTCCTTTTTCGTATAAAATGTTTCGACATTTATCGATACACATTTTTCTTTATCTCTTTCTTTGTTTTTAATTCCTGCCAATTCCGTTTTATTACTTTGCTCGTTCTCTTGCGTCTTTAAATTTGTCTCTTCTTTTTTATAAGCTGGTACCTCTGTTTCTTCTGCCTGCTCCAATTTATCATTTATTGTTTCATTTTTCTGTGTAGTGTCATCTTTTTCATTTTGAACATCTAGATCGGTAATTTCTTTTTTTTGTTCAGATTTTTCATGCATTTTGCCTTTCTCTTTCACAAATCTCTCTTCTTCTTCTTTATATTGAATTTCCGTTGTTTTATTTTTAGTGGTATATTCATTTTCCTTTTCTGGCTGTTCGTTTTTATCATTTACTGAGTCATTTTCATCCATTCCTTCAATGTTACTTTTGTCGTTTTGACTATCTGGATCAATATTTTCCTTTAGTTCTTCCGATTTCTCCTTAGTTTTGTCTTTGTCCTGCTCAACCTTTTGTTCAATATTAACGCTTTCTTTGTCAGTTTTCTGTTCGCCATTATTAGTTTGTTCTATAGTACAATAACGAGCACAATCGCCATTCAACGCTTCCATTTCACAAGCATCATATTTGTCAGTATTTAGTACTTCGTGTTGGGGTTCTTCAAAAAACTGATTTATAGAGATATTATCGAATGCCATTAGATTTATTTCTTCAACAGGAATAATCTGCAGTGACTCCATAGGTACTACGGTTCCTACTTCCAAAGGAAAAGTATTTAGATTATCCGCAATCGTATCCTGCTTATTGATGGTAATATTGCTTATAACATGTATCTTTTTTTGTTCTTGTCTCACATTTCCGTCATTGTTAACACCAAATGTTATATCATTTATTGCTTTATAAATTATGTCCGTGTTAATACCACTATTTTTTAATTTCTTTTCTAAAATTTTAATGACTTTTTTTGCTGCTTGGGCTTCCTCACAGCTTATTTTTTCTGCATGCTCCATGCTATCGTGTTTTCTTTCTAATTCATTTTTTACACATTTAGTGTAGTCAACATTGTTTGGATTCAAAGGAAACAAGCCACACTTTCGGAAGCCATTTTTAATACATGGTTGCATATCTGCTTTATTTAACGCCTGCTGAAATACTTGACAAAAATTTATCTTTGTGACAGCGGTATTCACGTCTTGTTCACTTTGCCATAGTCGAATGGTCTTCTTCCATTCATGTTTTAATGGCCTAAACACACTAACATCAGCCGGTTGTAGGATGTGAGTAGTGTTTGGAGGAAGTGCATACAAAACTACTCCATTTTTTTCACAAAATTCACTCAGAAATATATTAAGGTGTGATCTGTGTCCATCAATAAACAATATTATTGGCTTCTTAATATTATTGTCTTTAAGCCACTGGTTAAAATCATTGCAGATATATTCGTAAAACACGTCGCTTTTCATCCACCCACTTTCAGATTTTCCCAGCACCCAATTCTCTGGCATATTATTTATCAATGCTTTCGGAGGCCTCACGTAAGGAAAAACAACAAGTGGAGGACATATATTACCACTGGCATTAAATGTTACGAGCACTGTTAATGTTTCTTTTTCGTTGCCTTGTTTAATTGAATAAACGTTTTTATATCCACGGGGAGCAAGAACTTTTCCGGTTTTCGGACACAATGAAAAACCTGATTCATCGCCATTAAAAATTCGGGAAGAGTCTTCCATGATATCCATAATATTGTTTTCTTTTAAGAACTGTTCTAGTTCTGAAAACCAGGACTTAATATATTCTTTCGTGATGACTGCCCTCGCTTTGTTAATACTCTCGGACTCACGTAATCGTATTTCTGGGTGCCGTTTGATGAAACACATATACCATTTTTCTCCAGGCCTGTCATTTTTGAATTTTTCAATTTTTCCGTTTTCTGTTGCTATTTTAGTTACTGTTTCTATTAGTTCTTGCTTTTTTATTGGGAATCCACACTTGGCCAGACTTATGACCCAATCCCTAATGCGTTTTTCTCCTTCGACAGTCATGATTGGCTCTGGGCCCGTTTTACGTAAATTGTCTGGGGTTTTCCCCGACACCCTGTCTTGGAGAGTGGTCCTGGGCACACTATAATGTTTCGCAGCCGTTCTTGTGCTCATTTTGCCCTCTCTTACAGAATTTAGTGCAAGCATTAAATTTTCTTCCGAGTACCGGAACAGTTTTCTTGCCTGCGTTGACATATTTAATTTTTTGCTGTGCTTAGTGGTGGCCATCTGGAAAAGAATAATTTAGTAAGTATTTTGCGTCAAATTATATTTTTCAGTTTTGGGGATTCCCAAATTTATTTAAAAGAACACGTAGTTAGATACAAAATAATTAAAAACAAATCAAACCTTTAAAGTTAAAGTTAATGGCCGAGAAAGGGCCAATTTACCTTTTCTCGGTCGCTAGTTTAAACTTTTTTATTTGCCGCGTTTTTTTAGATAGCCCGGCCGAAAACTGGCTATTTTGTAGTACTAACTGTCTTACATACGCCGGTAAAATGGTTACGACTTATTATCAAGTCGTGACACAAACGAAGACAAACAATATTTTGCTTTTAAGACCGGCTCTCGGCCACCTCGGTCGAGAAATGGTTTGACAGTTTTAATTAAGCCAGTTTACCGGCCACCAAACAAAACATTTAAAATTCATGATTTATCAGTTTGGCTCTAAATATAACAATAGCTGAACATATTACTTATCTAAAAATAATAAAAACTTACCTTTAGAATCAGTATTTTACAAAATAATCACTATTTCCGCATGGGGTGCACACTAACAAATTTTTAAATAACGACCACATGTATACATCTTCGTCCATAGCCAACTTTTAAATGACGTTTGTTTTACATACGCAAGCTTGCAAAAATGGCGTTTAGTGCGAAGTGGGGGGTAAAGGGAGTCTGAAGTGAGGTATATCTCAGAAATCGCGGTTCCACTCAAAACTTCTAATTTATTCACTATATTGTCTGAAAATGACCGAGAACTGGTAGTGGCCGGCTAACTGGGCGATTTACCCTAACTTCTATCAGCTGCCTATCATCATAACAATGTTCTAGGTAGTAATCTTCTAATTCCTAGTATCCCCTCATTGCTCTTTAGCTGTTTGTGCCTCCTCCATATATGCAAATAACTTAGTTTATTATTTTGTGTAGAATAAATGTATGAACTTCATCGAGTCATCAGGCCTATGTGCCTGTGTGATGTGATACAGTTGTTTGCTTGTTGCTTACTATTTTTGTTGTTGTTTGTAAACCAACTAGTCAAACCATGTTTTAAGTTAATCCTTTGTAAAACCTGCCAAAAAATTTGTTTTATCTTATTGCATTAAGCAATTGAACTAGGCACTAAAATTAAATGGTATATAAAGTGTTATGAAAAAATAAACAGTTATGAATTTGTTGACCAGTGTTTTAGTTCATTTATTTTCTACTTTTTATGTTTTTTTTTCTGCAAACATATAATGAACACATTTCAGGGACGTAAAAATTGTTTATGGTGTAGCAGAAAAGATATACAAAAGAAAAAATTCAGTAGCTTCTGAGGAGACAAGTGGTAATATGGTATCTAAAAGACTCAGATCAAGCAAAAAGGTAAGAACATTGGAGTAAATAATGGTAATGCATAAGTGTGTGCGTTAAAATTGTAAAATTCTTGTTAGACTTGGATAAAAATTTATAAAAAGTTTTTAAATGATATTCTTACTACTACCAGAAGATCTTCAGATAGATCCAAAATCCTAAATCTTAACAAATGTGTCTAGACTTAGATCCCGTTTATCAGCATCTCCCACATCTGTCTCCCTACAAGATTAATGAATACCATGTGAGCCTTTGTTTCCTAAATTTTTCCATCAGTTTTAAAATCAATTTGATAATTACATTGTAGACTTGACTTTTTGCTACCAAAATCTGTTTGATATATACCTAAATACAGCAAGAATTTTTTTTTATATAAATCTCATGCATAAAGTTACATTACATTACATCTATATTACATTCCACCTCATAATACTTTGTTTTTAGTGTGTTTAACATCAGTTTCTAATAACCAGATAAATTGCATAAACTTTTGGATCATCCCATCTCTTAGAATTTGTGATGCACTTTACTTGGTGTTGTTAATATTTGGTAATATTAATGTCATAGTGTAAAAAATCTACAGGCCTACTAATTAATTGATTTTTTTTTACCCTTAACGATACTTTTTTTTGAAAATTGCATTTTTATCTCTTTTGAATCTTTATAATTCAGAACCACAGATATTTCGTTTTCATTTTAGAGAGCTCTTGCTAAGGCACAATACAAAGAACAATCAAAAACGGATGGATCCTCATCTTTATACAATGAAACTTTGGCTAGTCTCAAATCTCACTCAGAAAACTCAGCAGATCGGGAAATACAATTTAATACATTCAGCCATTTGGAACTAAAGAAAACAATGTCATCTCAACGGATAAAACGCCATCAAAAAGAAATTCTGTCTGATACTAATAAAAAACGTCCAAGGTTTTCTCGTATCTATCGCAATAGGTCTTATCACCTGAGTCCCTCGAAGATTTATTGTATATTATATCTAGCTCTTCTCATTAAAAAGGACCCCATGCAATTGGGTGATATGTTGAGGTTCATGAGGGAAGGACACCTCAGTTTCCATTGTTATTCTCATCTCTTTCCTGAATCATATGCAGACAAGCGTTTGAATATTGCAGATTTCCGATCGACTATTTCTTTGAGTCACCACGAATTCAGAAAGAGAACTGCCGAATTGGCGAATCTGTTGGACGTTTGCTGCTATATTAGTTGTCCCGATTTAGAGGCATTAGCCCGAAGGTACTGCGAGGAGATGAATTTACCAGGTAAATATTTATCTTGATACAAATATCCTAAATATATTTTAAAAAATATTTAGTTTCACGCCTTCTAGTTTTAGTGATAGGTATATAATTATATTCTTATGATTTTATTTTTATTATTATTATGATTTTGAATTCCTATTTTAGTGAATTTCAATAGAATTAAAAACCACTAAAAAATATATTGAATTTTATAATTAAAATATCTCAATATCATTTTAATTACAGATGCCAAATTACTAATTAGATTTTGTATTAAATCTCAGGGTTTTTAATTGAGTTCAGAAATACTGTTGTCCTCGTCTGATGATTTTAGATCATTCAGAACTTTTTATGTAGAATAACTTTTCCCATAAAACTAAAAATAAAAAAGTTTATCAAATTTCTTTATTTTAGATGATGTTTTCTTAGCAGTAAAAAATATTTTGGCAAAGAATCCACCATATCAAGGAATGATCTGTAATCATATACCAAACTACGAAGGAAGGGTCATGGCGATAATTATGTTCGTCTTAAAGCTATTCTATGGCTTAGATGATGTTTCAGAAATCAATCTATCCCAATTCGCTAAAGCCTTAAATGCTACATGGCCGAATCTGAAAATGTTCGATATCGTGGAATGGATGGAGTTTATAAACTATAGAAGAGTGTTAATCAGCGAGTATCATTTCCCTTCTTCTGCGAACGAAAATATTGGCGCCACTAATGCAGATTTGTACATGCAGTACAGGAAAAACCATAAAATCGACATAGATTACACACCCAACGTGGGTTTTAAGAAGAGGCCGTGTTCGGCCGAAATGACTGGATACAAGGATCTGTTAACAGAAATTATCAAATTACAAAATGACGAATTTCCTCACATCGAATATCCTCCCAGTGTCCACCCATATAAAAGTCATTCAGATGTTGTCAAGCGTTTGCTTCATCGAAGTGATCCAGATGGCATTCAATTTTGTAAGTATTAAGTCCCCACAATACATTTTTCTCATTAAATTTATTTTTACACTGCAAAACCTATTATTCGTTGTACATTTTTGTATAATTATTATGGTACTAGTGATTTTGCTCGTCACTATGCGACATAGGATCCAGTCAATTGCATCTACAATCACTTCACTTATTTCTATGTGTCTTCCTCTTATTTAAGGCTAGGATGACAACAGAATAATATTTTAATCTGTTGTACAACAGAAGAATGAATGAAGAATGAAGATTGTAGAATATCTTGGCCATGTTATGAGGAATGAACAGAGATACGGCTTGTTGCAACTCATTCTTCAGGGCAAGGTAGTTGGAAAGAGAGGACCAGGGAGAAGAAGAATATCTTGGCTTCAAAACATGAGAAAGTGGTTTAATACATCGACAACCGAACTATTCAGAATAGCAGCAAGCAAAGTTAGGATAGCCATGTTGATCGCCAACATCTGGAACAGATAGACACCATAAGAAGAAGGATAATAGAAATTGAATTGTTTGGTGGACTTCTTAAAAATGTCTTTACTTTATAATCAGAATCTCCTTAAGAAAGAACCCATTTCTATTATCTCCATTTAAACTTCCTATCAAGAATACAGAATTATTTATTCCTATCTGCTAGGTACCTAGAAAAACATACCCAAGAAATATCACGAAATTGTCATAATTTAAAATCAATATTCCATATAATATATAGAAGATTTATTGAAAGTTTTGAAAATTTCCTACTACACAGTTCATTGCTCATTTGCGAAAAAAGTTATTTGATATACATATTTAAATCTTTTTTCAGATATGCTAACCAAATATTTTCAAAACCGAAGCATGGACTTCCTCTTTAATCCTCTGGCTTATTTGTGGCAACTAAACAGCAAAGCGAAATTCCAACATGGCGGGTTAAATGATCAGTGGAAGTTAAAAACAGTTGGATTGTCTTCTAAGTTTCAATTTCTTGAGCAGCGTTATATAAAGCATATACCTGTTGAAGTTGTTAAACACGAAGTGAAAAGAAAACCTAGAAAACAGATCGAGAAAGATGTATCTGGCAAAAATATTAAAGTTAAGCTGAAACAGTTTGCTAAGTACCACCAGTATCAGTTTAAAGAGGACTTAATTGAGTTGGGGAAGTTATCAGTTAGATGTACGTTTAATGGAGAAGGTAGATGTAACAATGATAGACAAGAGACTTATGATCTGCACTGTTTTCCGTATGAAAGGTGAGCTAATACAATCTACAGTTGATTCAAATTCGACGTGCAGTAAAAGTAAACAAAACCAGGCTATGCTACGTAAGACTCCATAGGCGTGCGGTTTTGCTTTTATATTTCCTATTTCCTATCAAATTAATAAAACAGTATGTACAATTAAAGATTTGTTTACTATGAACAAAGAACAAAAAAAATGCAATGTTAGTATTATTTTCAAGGAAATTCAAAATAAACGTCCCTACTGTAAAATAAAAAGAAACTTAGGTATGGTTTGACAAAAATAATAAAGCAGTAATTGCAATGTTGTTTTGACACGTAAATGATCGAAATCGAAACATCAAATTCAATTATTTTTTAAAGTAAATTGTGTGTTAGTTCGAATCAAAAGTAGTAACTTATTATTATGTTTTCAGTTTTTTTTTGAAAAAACAATAAAATTCACGTGTAATGGTACATATTGTTTTAATAATTTAATACGAAAGCAAAACTGTATGCCAAATTTAGATTGATAGACAAAGAAGGCTTCTGGCTGAGTACAAAATAAACAACTGATCAAATCCTATCACGCGATATAGAAAATGAAAGGGGAGCTATAACGATTACTTAAGGAAAGAAAAACAAACAGGGCGCCCAAAAGGGCACTACGAAGCATCTTCGTTATTAATGGATGTATACTTTCATACGAGATATCATAGTGCACTACGGATGAAAAAACGTCTGACTGAGTACAAGATAAACAACTGATCGAATCCTCACATGCGACATAGTAAATAAAAGAGAAGAATATAACGAATATATTAAGATAGAAAATCAATTACATATCTTATTAGATTCTTTATATCCTCCCTTTTCATTTGCTATGTCGCATGTTAGGATTCGATCAGTTGTTTATTTTTTAGTCAACCAGAGGCCTTCTTGAAGTCAATAAATGAAAATTTGTTTTATAGTAAATTTATTTTCATCCATAGTGCCCTATGATATCTCGTATGTAACTATACGTCCATTAATAACGAACATGCTGTGTAGTGCCCTTTTTGGTAGTCGTCTTGTTTGTTTTGTCTATCGTAATATAATCTTTATCCCCTTACCTTTCATTTTCTATGTTGAATGTTAGCATTCAATCAGTTGTTTATTTTGAACTCAACCAGAGGCCTTGCTTGAGTCAATAATCACTATAAATATAATGACTATAAATCATACGGTCGGCCGCAACTTATGCTACGATGTCTACTTCATATTCTCATATGTATTTCATAATACAGGAAAATATAGGTTTATACACTGTTTAAAATAATGATTTGAGAGTGCCCCTCGTAACATTCATACTGTTGACGGTTTATTTATACTTACTGCAGTTCTATCTTGTATTTAGTGTAGAAATGTTTAGAAAGGTTTTCGAAGCCCCGCCCATTGTGACTTCAGAGGTGAGGTAGTCCATCAATACACAACTGACCGTTTCCACTAAACAGACTCGAGTTTCAAAAACTCGTGACTCAAAAAACAAAACGAACTGTTTCAAAACACGCCAGTCTTTAAAGTTGCTATTTTGTTTTATTGGACAGGAGTTTGTATTTTGTTTTTATTTTGTCCGTTTGATGGGAAACCAAAATAATTTTTACATATTTAATTTAATTTTATTAATTCAATGCATTACAATAACAAATTCACATTGTTATGTTGTTGGAAAACCCTATTGTAACATTTATTAATTTGATTTTATCTTTGTTATTCTTCTGATCATAAAATATAAATGATAACATTTATTATAACTATAAATAAATAAATTCAAGCACTATAATTCCCTGACGCACGCCCTGGCTAAAATATTATCACTAGAACAACAGTGGTCCAACTAAGTTATAGCAATTCTTCCGCGTACAAGGCATCGAGCAAAAAGACAATAGAGGCAATGTAAAGGTAGTGGGGGCAAACATATTGTTAGACAGGAAGTGCGATCTTTAGAGGCCACATTAAACAAGGAAAGAGAATATCTCTCCTTGTTTGACATCAAATTTAGTTGGGTTATGTTATTGTTTGTCCCAAATGTCACATGAAATCTTATTTATATTGAAGTTTTTTAACAATTGTGTCGCATTTTAGACTCTTATCATTAATAATTAATTAAAACTTTCTCGTTTAAGACACATTCTGAAAAATATTATATAGCTACTGTAGATAAGTGTCGGAAAATTTAAATTTGGCGCATTCGCATTTCCGGATATGTCCGCCATCAGAGGCCACTTTTTTGGTCTCCTTTTCATAAGGATTAGATTCCCTCTTTTGTCTTATTGCTCGATGGTACAAGGACTACTAAATGATATGGTATGCTGTTAATACTTGAGTTTCGTATACGATGTCTATTTATATAGTTTATGAGGTGGATAATATGTACACTTCCCGTCATATAAAACTGGTACACTTTTTTTTCCCAATGCAAACCTGTGTTAAGAAACCGATTCGTTGTTGCCATTACAGATAACGGAATTGCACTAAATCTAAACAAAAAATAATGTTCAAAAATGTATAAAATTTCTAGGTATTATTTTTATCATTAGAAAAAAAAAGTGAATCTAAGAAATTAAATAAGCAGAGATAGGGTTGAGATATTATTCAAAATGTTTGAAGGAGCTTTAAACCTAGGGTATTGGTACAGGGAACATTGGAATGCATCTACTGTAATTTTATATTTTAATTACCTACCGAACTCGAACTGTATTCTGTGTCAATAATTGTAACAGACAAACTACCCAGACTAATTTATTATTTATTACAAGAACGATAAAAAATGTGTAAAACTAACATTATATTTTATCCTACGTATTATATACTAGAAAATGTTCGATGTGAAAAAACGCTTTTCCAAACGATAACAGTAACAATCCAATATCTCATTGTAATGTTTATTATAATAATTTGAAGTTTGTCTAGATTATCTGTCATTATTTTTGAGTTGAAATATTTTCATAAATTGTTATAAAATACAAATCAATATATATCTACGTATTTAATTGACATGAAGGAAAATTATAAAATTAATATGAGAATTTTTTTGGATGCATGTATAAACAAATTTAATGTGAATGACTGATTGAGAATCTGAGAAAAACTGGCGGTCTGTTACACAGCCTTGCTTTTAGCTGGTTTTATATAATATTTTCGTTGAACTGGCAACGGTGCCCTAAAAATCAGAGTGACACATGACACAAGATCAACTTACACAACTTAAAAAACACGATTTTTGATTATAAGAGTTGTACCAGTTTTTTATGACGAGAACGGTACGTTTGTACATTGTAAATCATGATTTGGGATTGCTCCTCGTAATATTCATAATGTTGATAATGTGTCTTGGTTTGTTTACTGCTACTGCATCTTTAAGTTAAATTTGGTTTAGTATCATTTGTGTTCAATTTTTTTAAAAATGGGTAGAAATGTAGAATAACAAAAGTTATGCAAATTCATCAAGAAAAATTTTAAATATATTTTTATTTATTAACAATTTAAGTGAAAAGTGGCTGATTTTTAGAGTTTTGACACACTAGTGAGTCTCTTTGAGTATCCAACTAGCAGTGAATAGCGTTCAGCTAGCTTTAAATAATTTGTAGATTCAATATTTTTGTTTTCAATGTATTCATTTTAGACATACAAAACTTAACGTATTTTCTCATACTTAGTTTTTGTTGTAGACACTGGATCAACTTCACCAACACTCGTATCAATTTTGCCAGCGCCGAACAATTCAAAGACTACATGAATGGATTTAGTTCGAGTTTCAAAATGATCTTAAAAGAATGCAGCAGGATTACGGAACAGAATGAGCAGGAACTTTTCGAACAATTTCAAAGTACCGAGCTGTATCTCATATATTGCTCAAAAGAATACAGTGGGTCTAAAAAACGAAGGGAATTAGTGACATTTAAAAAATTTCTACATGATGTAGAGAACAGTTGGTAAAAAAACAACAAAAATATGTTTTATCATTTCTAGAGAACTTAAAGCATTATGCATAAATATAATAAAGAAGGTTCTGAAGAGAGTGAAGAGGTTCTGATACGGTTTTCTTGTGGCATGTTTAAGTAAAGTATTGTATGTATGTGGGATTAAACCACAATGTATTGTAATGAGAATTACAATTGCTTTAACGTTTCGATTTTTAATAAAAGTTAAGTTTAATAAAAGTTAATTATAAATTAAGAAAATTTTTAGAAGAATCAGATAGAGTACACTCTATCAATCGTCATGAAAGAAACAGACAGCAAAAATATGGTTATTTGCCTCAAAGATCGAAGTCAAATAAGTCACCTGTCAAATTAACAGAACAACGCCAATAGGACTTTTCATCAAAAAATAGTGTCAGCCATTTTTTTTTAACAGGTGGAGCATAGAGCTTCAGTGAAAACGCGCTATCGGGTTCTATTTTGCGCTAAGGCCTTCACCTCATTCCAAGACTTTCCTTGGCCTCTTATCTCGTCCATGATGGATCTTCTCCAAGTTTGTACTGGGCGACCTCTTTTTTCTTTGCCCTTGGGGATTCCACTCTAGGGCAGTCTTTGCGATACTGGAACTATTTTTTCGGAGTGTGTGACCGATCCAACCCCACTTTCTGGACTTAATTTCATTTTGTATCTATCCTCTTTTGTTCGGTCAGGTGTAGCAGATCTTCGTTTCTGATGGTGTTAGGCCAGAATATACGGACAATATTTCGAAGACATTTGTTAACAAAGACCTGCAGTTTGTCTGTGAGACAAATAGACCTATTGCCTTACTACCGATCCTATCCAAAATTATTGAGAGACTTATAAAAGCCCGACTTGTCCTTTCTCGATGAGAACAGCATTTTATCACAAAGTCAGCTCGACTTTTATCTACTAAATCTATCATGATACTAAGACTTCCAAGATAAACCCACTTCGCAATCGAATTTTGTACATCGACGCGCATGACGTCCAATTGGTGATAAAAGTCACTTTTATCACCAACCTTTTATCATCACAGTCGGTAAAACATATATGGAAAGAAAGGGGTTTTTATTTAAATATTTAGAATATTAAGGGATGTTAGGTAAAATATCTGCAATTAAATCTTAAAAATATGCTATATATACATCTCTGTTAGCCTAGCAATGTAAACTAAAATTATATAAAAAAAGTAAGAACTAAACATCCTTTTGCAAATGGAAATTTATATACAATGGATTGATTTATTAAAATAAAAATTTAATAAAACTGATAAAATAAAATACACTGTAATAATTTACAAGTTTATTTAACAATTTATTTTACAATTTTTAATATTTTCTTCTTCTTAACTTTGGATGTTTCTTCAATATATCTATTCAATTTTCTAATTTTAAAATATAATTTACACCTTTACTAACATTACATCTGAACACAGCTAAATCCATTAGCGATTTTAAATAATTCTTGGTTAATTTTAATGACCCTTTGTTAAAATTGTTAAAAATATGGTCCAGTTCATTACATTTAATTAGAAAATCTGGATATGGTTTAAGTAAACCTCCTTCGGAAAGATGGTTTACCCAGTAAACCGATGTCAACAACGTACAAGATAAACGATAAAACAAAACTAAATCTCAAGGTTAGTAGATATTTAAGTAGATACTTAAATATCTACTAACCTTGACTAAATCTGACAAAACTCCATACAACACAGAACATTTCTGGTGACATTTGTCGCCAAGTGACGTCACACGACTGATCTCGTGCGCGTGGGTTTATCTGTAGTTTATAGTATCATGTAAATCTATAGTATGATGCATGATACTATAAACTACAGATAAACCCACGCGCACGCGATGAGTCGTGTGACGTCACTTGGCGACAAATGTCACCAGAAATGTTCTGTGTTGTATGGAGTTTTGTCAGATGTAGTCAAGGTTAGTAGATATTCAAGTATCTACTTAAATATCTACTAACCTTGAGATTTAGTTTTGTTTTATCGTTTATCTTGTACGTTGTTGACATCGGTTTACTGGGTAAACCATCTTTCCGAAGGAGGTTTACTTAAACCATATCCAGATTTTCTAATTAAATGTAATGAACTGGACCATATTTTTAACAATTTTAACAAAGGGTCATTAAAATTAACCAAGAATTATTTAAAATCGCTAATGGATTTAGCTGTGTTCAGATGTAATGTTAGTAAAGGTGTAAATTATATTTTAAAATTAGAAAATTGAATAGATATATTAAAGAAACATCCAAAGTTAAGAAAAAGAAAATATTAAAAAATTGTAAATTATTACAGTGTATTTTATTTTATCAGTTGTATTAAATTTTTATTTTAATAAATCAATCCATTGTATATAAATTTCCATTTGCAAAAGGATGTTTAGTTCTTAGTTTTTTATATAATTTTAGTTTACATTGCTAGGCTAACAGAGATGTATATACAACATATTTTTAAGATTTAATTGCAGATATTTTACCTAACATCCCTTAATATTCTAAATATTTAAATAAAAACCCTTTCTTTCCATATATGTTTTACCGACTGTGATGATAAAAGGTTGGTGATAAAAGTGACTTTTATCACCAATTGACGTCATGCGCGTCGATGTACAAAATTCGATTGCGAAGTGGGTTTATCTTGGAAGTCTTAGTATCATGATATGATATAAATATGACAATAAATCATATTTTTGTATTCTATTCTAAATCTGTCTGTACGAAAAATATGGCGGCCGATGAAAAGTCCTATTAATAAACAACAAAACAAATGTCACATATAATTCTCATTTCAATTAATTGTGCTTTATTCACATATAAAACATTTAATGTTTGGATTGGTCAGTCGATAAAAACAAAATTTTTTTAGACGGTAAAAAAAAGAACCGGTTATTGTTGTATTCCTAGGGAGCTTTAGGAACAAAAACTATAATCAAGAAAGTATTATTCAACCGGAAAGTATAATGAGTGATGTATAAATGAATTAAAATTTGTATTTAACAAATTTGTTTTTAAAATGGTGAACAATTACATTTATTATTTTTTTAAATTTGTATTTCATAATTTTTTGTTGTTAAAATGATTAAAATAATGAAAACTAAAATATTGTTCTAATCTTTCTACATTTTTTATATCTAATTGATTTTTTGTTAAAATTCTAATTTATATTTCACAAAGTTTTGTTGTTAAAAATGATTAAATTAATGAAAAAATAAATGTTTTATTCTTTCTATATATTTTTTTTATATCTCATTTGAGGAATGATTTAAATAAGTGGTAAGTACCAAGAAGCAAAAATTATCTAATTGCATGGTTATGTTTATGTGCAAACTTAAAACATAAATAGTAAGAAATATACACAAAAATCAAAATACCACATAATACTAATCAATATATGCATGAACTACTTTTTGTTTGAATAGTATGCCCTATAAAAGCATCGTATATTGCTTACGTCTATCTGTTTTATCAATTTTTTTCCACACCTTCCGGTCCGGTCTCCTTTCATTTACATACAGTAATAGTAATCTAATAACAATAATAAAAATTTAATTAAAAGAGAAAGAGGCCATGGAATCGCATATTTCTTCGGAGATATTAGTCCCGCCATCACTTGTCCGGGCCATGCATAATACTCTCGCTACTTTTCCTAAACTACATACACTGCTATTAGGTATATGCTGTGGTGTATATGACACATTAAACGTCAATGATATGACAAACCGTGTAAGTCAAAGTTTGGAACACATAGTAAATAAACCATAGACAGGTAAGGTACGAGTCATACTGTGAATAAAAGTGAAACAAAAATATTTACTTTGGGTGGTCTAAAATGCATAAAAAAAAATTCTATAAGAACGTTTTGGAAATTTGTTAATGATAAATCGGACAACTCATAAAAGTTTCTGAAAATTTGGTACAAAAAAATTGAAAAAATCATCAAAACAATGAGAAGAAATCTAATGGGTGCTTTTTTATTTTTGAAAAAAAATACAACTATTTTTTTAAAAACTGTTTATTCAAATTTACAATAACAAATGTAGATATTCTTCTGGTACTCTTCTTCTTGTTTTAGGTTCTTTAATTTTTTAAAATCAGCGTTGTTCTATTCACATTTTGTAACTAAGAGTTTTTTTTTCGTCCGTCCATGACTAACATCCATCCAAGATCAGTCATAATTTATTATACGCTGAAACATATGCAAACAAATTATCATAAAATCATTTTTCCACGACCAATGAACGCAATAATTACAAAACTACTTTTAACAATACAGTTATTTTCAATGGAGGCGTCTGAACTTTGATTTTCCGTACTATTTGGACGACTTTAAAACATTAATACTATATTTGGGTTATAAGCTCTCATTCGGCACCTTATTTGTCACTCTATATGTTCTAACATAGTTATGTTTACGGACGGACAGACAGACATGGATAAATCAAGGTTTTCACATTTTAATGTTGTAAAATGGGTGAAAAGTGTTATAACCTAACCTAACTCAACGTAACCTAACTCAACACAACCAAAACTTACCTAATCATCTAATTTCGCTCGCTCGCATAACCTAACTTATCCTACAGCTACAGTTTGACACTACTTTGCGGCAAAAACCAGTAAGTAAGTATCTATCAAAAGTGTAAAAAATTTAGCAGTTTTTGTAAAATCTAAAAATGTTCATATTTTAACAAAAATATGGTAAACAATTAGTAATTTTTGCAAAATCTTGTTAAAACTTCAAATATTTGAATATTAAAGTTCTGCCAACTGTATTTTTCATAAAAATAAATATATTGTATAACTATGGACTATAATTAAAAAAAGATTAAACAAGCAAAATAATAATGGTTACGCTCAGTGAAGTAACATATGCAATAAAAAGACTAAAAACCAACAAAGCACCTGGACCTGATAACATACAAGCTGAAATATTGAAACTATTTGAAAACATTCTTACAGATTGGCTAGTTTCCACCTACATCCCTCTCCCCAAAAAGGCAAATGCCACCAGATGCTGTGATTACAGAATTATAAGCTTAATGAGCCATGCACTCAAAATCGTTCTTTCTGTTATTAACTCTCGCATATATAGAAATCTTGAAGAAAACATTAGCAGTGTTCAGTTTGGCTTTAGAAGCGGACTGGGAACGCGAGAGGCAATATTTTCCATACAAGTATTGATACAAAGAACTCGAGACGTAAATTGTGAAGTCTACGCATGCTTTATATACTTTGAAAAAGCATTTGACAAGGTCAACATCAAAAATTATTTCAGATACTGAAAGAATTCTTGAAAAAGTTCCTATGCCACCATTGGTCGAAGGGCGCGACCTCGAAACACAAGGAGTTATTTCTACGTCACCATTGACCGAGGGCGTGGCCTAGAGACACGAAGATACGTAAGATTGCAAAAGTGGTCCAGAACGAACATACGTAAGCTTGCGTTCTGGCTGCCATCTTGAAAAGTAAGTCAGAACCCGCTTATAACATTAATGCCTGGTTGCACCAACATATCTTAAGCTTAAGACGTGCCTTAGGTAGGCCTCAGCTCAGACTGATCGACCGACCACGAACAAACCGTCCGACGGCGATCAACCAAATTTTGTATTTTTATTTTTAAGAATATACAGAATATTTTAGAATTAAAAATTATGGTGCAACGTAAGTGAGAGTTAAGGCAGCCCTAGCTATAAGCAGAGCTTGGCTAAGCTGGAGCTTAAGATCTATTGTGCAACCAGGCAATAATCTTCTATTTTAAGGCTAGGACAACAAAATTATGTTTTAATCTGTCGTAAAACTTTCAAAACAAATAAGTAAATTTTGGAGAGTAGCTGAACTTTTGCATTAACATCTTATAAAATCGATCTACAAAAACCAGTGTAGCTCTAGTTTGGCAAGTCATTTGTTAGGAAAATATAAAATATATTTTAATACTTACAACTTCGGTGAATTTTCCAAATCAAAGTAAACCACTGTTATTCAGTAATAGTGCAGCTTTCCGTCTTTCCTTTGATCGGTTGTGTCCAACAATAGGTTTCTTAATCGTACCATTTAATATTTTCCTTGAACTATCTTCTTCAAGACCATTTGCATCAGACAAAGTGGTTTTTCTTGTTATGGGTTTGAACTGCATTACTAAAAATAAAATTAGACCAGGAAAATTAGAATTTATCAAGACAGTCGCTGAAACTACTCTCTAATAATGGTTCTACATGAGTAGAATATCAAAAGTTGTGCTAATTCATCCAAAACGCGTTAGTTTATTTGTATTTATTAACAATTTGTTAACACGTTGCCTGCCTTAGAGGAATTTGTAATACTTTCCGTTCACGCCAATGCCATTTCTGCTATATGGTCGAAAAAATTACCGCTCACGCCAAGGTGCGCGGAGGTACCTTTATATAGCCTGTAATGTCGACCTGCCTCGGTCAAATTAACCGAGACGGCATCACAGTCACATTAAAATTCTCAGTCAAATAGACCTCTCTGGCGCACAGAGCAATTTTTTCTGTCACATAGATCGAGACGGCAGGCAACGTGTTAAGGTGAAAAATCTATAGGTTAAAACCATTATATTTTATCATAAAACTGAAAAGGAAATCAGTTGGTTTATAAGAAAATTTTTTGATGCATTTATTTATTGATAGACATTCAAAAGAGAAGAACTTCTGCAAAAATAATTTAACTACTTTCATTCTTGCGTCAAAAGAAAGCTTTTGTAGTGAACAAGATGTGATAAAAGTTTCAAAACGATTCGTTTAATAGTTTTTATACAATTAAAATTGTTTATAAAATTTGCAACAATTAACAAGTTTATATCTTGCGCTTACGAAAAAAGGCACCAAAATACTCACCAGACCCAAAAACAGTGCAGCATGTTGTAAAAGCAGATGGATCTTTTATGTTCACTAAAGTCTTGTACAAAGCCTCCAAACCAACTCTTGTTTCTGTTGGTGATTTCTCTATAAAATCATCAATTATATTATTAATGTCATATAGAACAGATTTAGCTGCCTCTCTATCATTACTGACTGGGATGAACTTTGTAATATCTTTGTCCACAATGATAGTTTCCACTACATTTTCATCTTGCACGATAGTTTCTTCTGGGTCGTTGCTTATTTCTATCACAAATTCCTTATATTCGTTATCAGTTTGTATGAAATTTTCTTCAGAATCACCTTCAAATTTTACCAAATATTCTTCATTATCAGTATCATTTTGCATTAAGTAGTTGTCTGGATCGCTTTCAACTGTCATTAAATCTTCATATGCTTCAAATTCATGGCCTAAATTTTCGTTAAGATCATCTTCATCCTGTGTATCTGATGATTCATCTGAGTTTGAACTAAAATTAATAAAAATACTTGTTCAAGATATATTTACAATTTGGACAATTTATTTTAGTATGTCATACTTGCTGTCTTTTGTTTAATATACATTTTAACCAATTGTAATCTCTAATTTATAATTCTTGTTTTGTAATAATGGGATGATATTGTAAATAAATAAAGAAGGGGTTAAGAAGTAAACAGCTTTACAAAGATATTCTTGTGAAAATTAGCTTAATACCCTTAGCGATTTCTTTGTACTACTACTGCAGCTATTTCAAGTATCGGCAACATACTGATACTTCAGTATGTTGAATTTTTTTTCTAAACATTCATAGCGACATTTATTAAACAATCTCGAAAGTAAAGAAAAAAAAAAATGTTAAAATGGATCTACTCACCCAATGGAATAATCGCGTTTATGTAATACTTTAATATATTCCGCATACTTCCCTTCGACATTACTCGATGTAGCTTTTTTTCTAAAACGGTTTTTATATAAATAGTAGCAATCTTCATATGTAGGACAATACCGTCTGTCAACCAGCATCTCTTCATAATTTTCATTGTTTAACTGTATATCATCCTTGATTACCTTCAGTGCTGAAATGGGGGAATGACCATTTTGGAACAGGTCAACTAGTCTTGCTCTAACTTCTGGACTTACTTTTCTAAACTTAAGAGAATCATAGCTGGTCAAATCATGGTTATGTGTAGCTAGGAAAGTTATTTCGCATGGCATCTTACACAACAATGCATGTCTTTCTTTGTCCTTTCCCCGAACCGAGACTTTATTGCATGCAACACCACTGTCAACCGTGAAGGACAATTCATATTTTTGGTGGTAGAACGACTGATCACTGTTGGGTTGTGGACATTTTTGTGTCTTGTTTTATGCTGGCAGACCAACCTCTGTTTGAAATTAATGTATTTGCCAGCTGTTCTCATGGTTGCATAGATGGAATAAGTAGTTTTATTAGACTCCTGTAATTCTGCAAGCCATTTTCTGATCTCCTCAACATTGTGGGCATCTATTAGGAATTTTAAATGCAGCTGTGGTGAAGTTTCTTTGTCAATCAACTTTGCTTCTAAGATGTAAGTTTTCCAGAATGGTAATAGTTCCTAGAAATACATAATTATTATTGAATACTAAATTATTCTAATATAGTGAAAAATAAGAAAAAATCATAAGTTTAAAAAAAAGTATAAACAAATTCAAACATTCTTTAAAATTCATCACTCAATTTACTTAACCCATGCATATGCATACCATATAGTATCGTACTATATGGTTTACACTAGTTTAAGTTATCTTTATGCAGCTTGTTATTTAACAAACTCAACTGCCAACCTAAATGTACAGCTTTAACTTGTTTCACTATTATTTTGTGTCTCAGTTATCATTGATGTTGTTTAAATCAGGTAAACTGTCCTTAGATATTTCATATCTTCATAAATACTTTGCAGAATGGGATTGAGCCCAATACTCCAGTAAAATCCTCTACTTTGGCTTGAGCTATACTGATCAGCTGTGCCTTTAGTCTTTTTGTAATTTTAACTTATGTGAGATGTATTTATGAGAAATATACTAAAAGTAAATGAATTGAATAATTGTTTCTAGAGTAGGAAATATTTGAAAATAATAAACTTATGGTTTATATAAGGCTTGTAGACTTTGTTATTAATTTTTTACTTACCGTCAATTCCGAAATATTCACATCTTTATCGCAGGCACTTTTGTTTAAAATGTGGCTCATGTTTAACCAAAATAAAAATAAACAGTTATTCAATTATCACCTAACAAGCCAGACCTAATGTGAATGATCGAAAACAGCACACTATCAATGTAGAACTAATTAAATAAAATTAGAACATTTTATATTTTATAAAAATTAAATCAAAAATTTGTAATCCCAATCCTGATTGGATGGCTCATAGTCATAAATAAGGCAGGGCAGAGTATATTTTTATGTACCATGAAATAAGAAATAAGGTAAATAAAAAATAAAAATAAAATAAGGTACAAAGTACATAGCCCTCTAGTAAGGTAAGTCCAATAGAAAGATTTGGTAGAGTTTTTAGCGCCAAATGCGGATGGGCCAAAACTAATTTTATTTGGCGGCAAATTCAAAATGTAAGTTTTGAAATTCATCACAAAACAGTAACTATTGTTGGACGTAGGCTGTCATCTCAAATGACAGCTAACGTCAGATTAAACGTCATAATCAATTGAAAAAATTTAATGTTTACTTCATTCGTGTTTCCCACCGTGACAAGGAGTGCATATTGTATCTGTAACTTATATTTAAATAGAAATAAAAGTAATATTCTTATTAGAAAAATGGGTGAGACAAATACAGATTTGTATTATGATACTGTTATGAAGCTTGTTAAAGAAGCGGGAAAGGTAAGAATTAAAAAAATATTTTTATTTTGCAAGTTTCTGATTTCTTTTAAAATAAATTACAAGGATTGAGATAATTCATTTTTTTTTGTCGTAATTAGATACATTACAATCCTTTTTCAGTTAGGTTTTAAGTAACTAAAGAATAATGAGACTCATAAATTTCTTAAATCAAATTAGTGGTCGATAAATATTTAATGGTTTTAATAAATGAAGAAATAAAAAAATTGGCTAACTGGTATTTATACAAGCGGTAGTGAGATATTTTTTCTTTAGAATGGAATGGGAAATGGGTTAATTTTGGTTGTTGAATATTTATTGATCATATTTTACTATCTCTACTGAGTTGCAGGTGAAGTATTATGTATCTCCATTATTTGCTGTAAGTGTAGCCTCAAGGTCAAAGCATTTTTTATACTATTAAAGTAAATAGAGAAATTTCTAATCTAAATTACATAATATTATATGTCTCATTAATTTTGAAAGTGTATGATTATATTTAACAACTTATCTTTTTGAAAAAACATCCTGTATAAACCAATGATAACAAATAGTAAACAATAATTCTACAAACCACATAAATTCCTTCGCCACAGTATTTTTCAATTTTCGCCACAATTTCCTTTGTGTTTTCTTTCTTGTAATGCTTGTATTAGGACTACATACTTAATTCTTTGAAAGTTATTTTAGAGCTCCTTCATTGTATGTATCTTTTAAATTCCAAATTCCAACTTCCTGTGGTAATTTTTTCCTTCTTTAAACTTTTTACCTTTTTCTTTGCATAATAATTGGCTTACTCAGTTTCTAGCATTTGTTTACTGTAGTTCCATTTCCAGGTCTTTCCACATGAACAGTTTTCTGTTCTTGTTTCGTTAAATAATTATTTATAACTATTCTTTCATTCAGTATAGCATTTAATCTATAGTTTTTTGTTTACCATATTTTCAAGTTCTATCATGCACATATTTCCAATTAGTTTCATTGTGTTCTTCACTGTTAATTGTATCTGTAAATTTTTATTGAAGAAAATTCCCATTGCTTCACTTAATGTGTTACTAACAATGATTATATCGATGGTTAGTTCTTGAACTGTAACATTCTTCCCCCTATAGGATTTTCCCTTAGTTCTAGTATATTCTCTACTTGTTCTAGTTTACCCTGGATTCCCTCGTTTTTTTTTTAAACACTATAATATCATTTTTCAGAGCTATATTTTCTTTTCATAAGCTTTGAACCTTCTACTGGGTAAGTAGTAAAAAAATGTAGTATCTTTTAAGTAGGGCCAAACAAAACTTTTTTACATTTTATTGAAATCGGTTCAGTAGTTTCAGAGATTAGCGTAACAAACATGGTGACATCGTTAGATTTTATTATATAACGATTTTATGCTTATACTGTTAATACTGCATTGATCTTATATACATCAGCTTTAGATACAGCCAAGTATGGGGCAGACCTTTGTAAAAAATTATAAAAAATATGGCTCAATAGATAGGTAGATAAATATGTATCTTTATTTTTAGATGATTAACGAAAAAGTACATAACCGAAGCAAAAAAGTAGAACAAAAATCCAGCGACATCGATTTAGTCACAGAAACTGACCAAGCAGTTGAAAAGTTACTTATTGATGGTTTATCCAAAGCATTCAAAGACCACAAATTCATAGGAGAAGAATCAGTAGCTTCCGGAACGCCAGTTAAATTGACAGACGCTCCAACGTGGATAATAGATCCTATTGATGGAACACTGAATTTTGTTCACGCTTTTCCACATTCGTGTATTTCCATCGCCCTTTTTATCAATCAAAAACCAGAAATAGGTATCATTTTCAATCCCATGTTAAACCAAATGTTCACAGCTAGACGTGGAAAGGGGGCTTTTTATAATGGCGAGCGCATAAATGTCTCAAACACTAAGGCATTGAGCGATGCGTTGATTATGTTTGAATGCGGTACTGCCAGGGATGCCGAAAAGATGAAGGCTGTTAATGAAAATTATTTTAAGTTGTTACCACAAGTTCATGGGTAAGTATTAGAGTTATTATAGTTCCTTTCACGACTTTTTTTCAGTGCCTCATTTATTTCTAATACATGTTGTAGATAGTGACAAAAATTGTACATCCTTGATTATTTCGTCCCTTCTATTTCGTTTAGTACCCGTCCGATTATCGAATGTTGGTGATCATATTGATACGGAGGTCTTGATAATCAATTCCCACCTGTTTTAAGTCACCTATTAGTTTGTCATCTGTGACCCGGTCAAAGGCCTTTTTGAAGTCGAAAACATATATACTGGTTGTTCTACATCCCTACATCTTTGAACCAGGACCTGCAAACTGAATAATGCTTCTCTCGTTCCAAGATCTTTTCTGAAACCAAATTTCGTCCCTAACCTGTCGAATTGTGTGAATTTTCGAATTAGAAATAATTATAACCTTGTAACAATAAATTTATTTCGCATTTTACGTGTAGTCATTATATTCTGGAAAAATTTATTTGTATATCTTTTTTTATGTAACAGTTTACTAGTATGTTTTCCATTTTTACCCAGTCTTATTTTTAATGTTTTTTTCAGCAGTTCGTCGTATCATGCATACTTTTAGAATACCTTCCCTTATAATGTATTTTGTTTTAGATTTAGGGCACTGGGCTCTGCTGCTCTTAACTTCGCTATGGTAGCAACAGGAGGCGCTGACGCGTACTTCGAGTTTGGCATCCACGTTTGGGACATGGCGGCCGGTATATTGATTGTACGGGAAGCTGGTGGCGTAGTCATAGATCCGTCAGGAGGCGATTTAAAAATACTTTCTAGACGAGCGCTAGTTGCGAGTACTCAAGAGCTCGCCGAAAAATTGGCACAGCAGCTGGTGTCGACTTATTACCCTACACCTGATGATAGTTAAGATGGGTCTGGACAATGAGAAACCAAAGAGAGTTACCTAGTTGTGATAATTGTGTAGAATACATGTTAAAAGTGGAAAAATAAAAGAATAGATGGATGTTTTTATTAAATGTACTTATATCAATGTAAACCTGTTGTTTTTTTGACAGTCCCGCATATTTTACAGAAATTCTTTAGAGTAATTAAGTGTTGGCAGACATTTCAGTAGTGTGTGGGAAATGGAAGACATAATGAGATGTCTGGAGGAGAAAAGCAAAACATATGAACTAAAACTAAATAGGACTAAGACAAAGATCATAATAGTAGACAGAGTTCGGAATAATCTTCAACACATTAAAGAAATTGGGGGCTTTGAAGTAGTAAATAGTTTCATATACCTGGAGTCCCTAATTACAAATAACGGAGGGTGTGGCAGTGTATTGCTAGAACACCTATGATGAAACTGGTAACAATTTGGAAAAAATCTAGCATAACAATACACACAAAACTAAGGCTGGTAAGGGAACTCCCATAGCCACATATGCATCGAAAACGTGGACCTTAAAGAAAGCTGATAAAAATAGACGCTTTTGAAATGTGGGTATACCGCCACATGTTAAGGAGAAGGATGGAGGGAAATCGTGAAAAAACTGGCCTGATGACCACATCCCAAAAGGGAATAGGACTGAGGAGGAGAAAATGTTATGATATTGATAGACAACTCGAACTACTAACCAGGGGATCGTTGGTTGCCTAGGTGTGGAGACGATCATCGTCATGTCATGGTATTATCAAAGAAGACACAAACATGACAATTGAAAAAATATTATCAATATTCAAAACTATTGCCATATATTTATAAGGAAGAGAGTAATTAATGTATATCTCCTACTTCTCTTAGGAGTTCAGCATCTGTGGTTGACATTAAACATTAGCCAAGATCATTTGTTGATCATCAAAAACTCTAGATGGCGCTCATTATCATCGTAACAGACAACATCATAGATAAATAATGACAACATTTATTAAACAAACCCTTCCCAAAGGGCAATTGTTATTGTTGACATTTTACTAAGGGTTATAATTTCCTCTGTTATACAATTACATATATCCACGTTTTTTCACACAAAAATTTTAAATTTTAAAATCGGAAAATATTAACTATAAATTAAAATTGTAGAATAGAATATTATCCCTATATTCCTACTACCTATAGGCCGATTGCGAAATAAAACAAACATTGTATGTCAATAAGTTTATTTTTGTAAATATCCTCATATTTATATATTTACAATCTCAAATATATATATGAAATTAACGATTAGTTTCTTTAAAGCAATAAATGTTAAAAATAACTATATGAACATTTATATATAAAAGAGAGAACCTTTTACTGAACAATATATAAATATATATTGAGCAAAGGTGATAAATATGATGTATATATAATATATAATTTCGTTTTGAGTTAATTTGATGTGTAGAGTGTCGCAAAAATATGCCTCTTTTCTTACCAATTCCTTCCTACGTAATCAATACCTATATTAAATCATAGAACCATGAAATCTATCGAATTAAATAATAATTTCAACACACTTTAATTAATTACTTAGAACCATTTATATACTTACACAAATTACTCGACAACAGATAGGTTCTGTTGAATTGTTTTGGCAATAAAATTAATATAGTTTGATATTTTTCTAGGCCTCAATAGATGGCGCTACATGAGAACAATTTGATTTTGAGTCTTGAGAGGTCATTCAACAATTAGTTTTCTTTAATATTCATAGAAAGCAAGCAACTTTTTTAAAAATAAAAAAAGTCAAAGCTTTTTACATGAGCAGACTTCTGACAGGACAATAATTAATGCCTAAACTGTGCTCACTTTTAAGCGTTTGTATCTTATTGATGTTCTTTCAAAAATTGTATATTATATAAAATTACTGCTTTAACAGATTGGAGTTGAATTAATAACAAGTTTTATTCTAAATGTATTAGTTTAGTAACACAATAAGTACATTCAATTAAAACAATTATATTTAAGAATGATTTAAGACCTTTTTAAATTAATTGTTTGGGTTAGCTTACTGAGTTTCGCCAAATGTATGCAACTTACAGTTCTTTACTGAAGTGTTATGTGCATGTTATGTTATATGCATAAGTCTGTTGTAGCGCAACACTCCAGTTTTGATATTTTTTGTCAGATACTTGTACTTTGACAATTTGGTACACAAAAACAGTAATTTTATATTGGGGGTTGTCTCTGTATCTAAATAATTTTTACCAAGTTGCATATTTCGACAAGTTGTACTCTGCACTTTCTACTTCTGTTATAATGATGAACGTATGGTAGTCAAAACTGAATTTTTATTCGTTATTTTTTAAATATTAATTCAATATGTACAAGGCTACATGAACAAATGCCTTTGAAGCTCGTAATTCACTTGTTGATCACAATAGTGGTATTTCCAACTTATAGATAGAAAGTGATTAATTTTAATATTTACTTTGCATGCATTAGAAAATAATTATTCAAAACATAAACCTACCATGTCAGATTGATTTGATGCTGCAGATTTTCGATGACGTAGGTCGGAATTAGTAAGAAAAGTACTATGTATTTTTAAAACATCGCTTGTACTTCAATTACTTACTGCAAATAATAGATACAGGATGCTTATTTATCAACTGTGAATGAAGCCCTTCTGAAAAATTTTATACCTATACATAAAACTTACAGAATGTATTAGGGACTTTCCATTTCAAATTGGACTTCTTATTAATTAGTTGTAAAATTTCATGTAACATTTCATTATTTTTGGAACAAATTACATGTAAATAAGGATAATAATCAATAAAAAAACTTACATAAACATTATAAACAAATTACATAACATTAAACTTGGCTTCATTAAGGTCCAGTTTTGGATTCTCTATTATTAACAATTCACTACCAACGTCATTTCGGAATAGAAGTCAACATTTTTGATTGAAATTAAAGATTCCATAATACAACTTAGTGTAATCTTAAATTCAAACAGAATCATGACAGGTAAGTATGGCCTGTAAATCGTTGCCTATGACCTAGATAAGCAGTCCTACCAATACAGAAACGTTTAAAGTAGTCGATGACGAATTTTAGAAGCGTTTCTGTATTTACTAATAAAAAATATCATTTAAAATTGAAAGTGGGTACACAATACAAAAAAGTAAATAAACTGATAATGATTTAGATACTATATTTGTCAATAAAATAATAAATTTGTACTCAAAGGTTGTCCAATGTGAGATGCACAGCCCCAGTGTTACCACCTTAAATTAACAATTGGTTTGTTTCTCCAGTTATAACTTTTTTGCGACACTCTGATGTTACGATGAATAATTTCTAGCTCTACTATAAGAGAGATATGAAAAAATAGTGATAAGATTGTGTAAAAATGATAATAACTGATCAAACTCTTTCCTTCTCCTTTTTCATAAACAAGAAGGTCAAAAATATAAAATATTTTTAAATCTCCTAAAAATATAAAATATTTTCGTTCTCCTATACCCAAAATAACGTATTTAATATTGCAAGTATCACCTGCTGCTAGTCTTCGTTCTTCGGCACTCTTGGATAAAGCTGGAAAGAAGAAAGTACGATTAGAATAATTATAAAATGGGCTAAAAATTGAATATAACTATAGTAGAAACCATAGTTAGAATGCAATCCAAGTAAGTTAGGCAACTTATTTGGGCAAATTCGAATATAGTTATGAGGGTCGAATCGTTTTGTAATGTCCCTTTGTCCGCTTCTTCTCGATCGACGATGCTAACATGATGAGACATCACTTAGGCCTTTAGACACTTCCTTAGTTCCGTTTATTAGTGCATATAAAACCGTCTATATATGTAAATAATACCACACTTGAGCAAGTTGATAAAATCGTTTACCTTGAACAGCAATTAAATTGTAAGCAGAAAGTCACGGCGAAATTAGATCTAGGGTAGAGCAGCTGCTTTTCGAACGATTTCCAAGGTGTTATGTAACAGAGACCTAAAATTGGCATTGAGGATCCGCCTACTTCGCTGCTACGTGTTCTCGGTCTTATTTTATGCTGTCGAGGTCCTAGACTGTGAATAAAATCGATATAAATCGCCTTGAGGCTTTCGAAATGTGGTATCTATAGAAGAATTTTAAAAGTTTCCCCCTGGTGGAGAAGATTCGAAAACTCACAAATACTAGAACGTCTCAGCAAGACTACTGAGATCATAAAAAGCATTAAACAGAGAAAGCTGGAGTATTTCGGGCATGTAATGAGAGGTCCCAAATATAGGTTGCTACAAAATATGCAAGGAAAATAGCAGGTAAACGCAGTCCAGAACGAAGAAGAACTTCATGGTTGAAGAACTTGCGAGATTTGTATGGTGTAGATACAAGCATGCTATTTAGGGTGGCAGTGAATAAAATTAAGATAGCTATGATGGTAACCAAAGTTTTGAACGTGTACATGAAGAAGAAGTTTATTAGTGCTTCTCGGAACCTATTTAAATGTCCGTTTATTCTTTCTTCTATAGAGTTAATCGAAGCTATTGTTTGTAACATCAGCTTCGTCTGATGTTTTGAATATTTTATTAGATCCTTCTGATTTTTGTCCAAGGAATCTATGTCCCTGTACACTTCATCATTTACCCCAAATACTGATGTAAGGACTGTTAGAAGACCCCATTTCTACTATAGTTGTAAGGTATAGTAGAAAATCGTCTCAAGTTCTGGATCGACAGAGTTAGAAGTGAAGAGGTCCTTAGACAGCTAAAGCAAACAACACAACTGGTCAATATATTAAAAAGAGACAAGCTGGAATAATTCGATCACATTACGAGGCACCCTGAAAAATATTGACTTTTGCATTTGAACATGCAGGGAACGATCCAAAGTAAATGTTGTCCTGGCATGGCTTAAGAACTCAAGACAATGCTACAGACAATCAATAAAAGATCAATAACGATCTTGAAACTAGAAGAAGAAGAAAAATCTGTAAAGTGTTGTCCAACACCATGTTCTAAATGGTTATGTACAAATAAGTTGCCATGTTTCTTTTCCCTATTTTCTCTGAGCTCTGTGCATGCTGTTACATTCTTGATTTTTCCATCATAGATTGTTCCGTGTTTTATACACTGGCCCAAAAGTCTGGAAACGGCTAATTATCTCGTAAATTACTAGACATAATTATACAAAATTTGAGATAGGCCTATTTTGGGATACGGAGATTCCAATATTTGGTATTTGCAACTGTTGCCAGATTTTCAGTTTCTCTTATATTATTTAGTAACTTTGGTTTTCAAATTCATCACCCTGTATATTCAGTCAATTAATGGAATCTCCTTATTAAATACGCGTTCAACCCATATGTAATACTTATGATTTTATGTAGTCTGGAATGTCTTAAATACATAAAAAAGAAGTCTGGCAACGCCTAAATTTTTTCAAAACTTTTTTAATACTAACTATTTTCAAATACATTCAAACGTAACAATTGATAGTTTAGAATATTTTTTAACATAATAGTTACGTTATTAAGTGTTCAAAATGTGCACCATTTGTGAGTTGACAGCACTCTAATCGATGGTAGAATGCGTTTACCACATTTCTCCATGATTGTCAAGAAATTATTCGAGATTCATCGATAATTCATTCTACCTTGTCCAATTCTATCCTTGTACAATTCTACCTTATCTACCAATTTATCGTCCGGGAAATATCTCATCTAAATAACGCCGAACATTTACACCAACTATCTGACGTTAAATTTCTTTCGATAAAAAATGGCCCAATTAAATAAGTACCTACTATAACTGACCATACATTTAATTTTGTGGTCTTTGAGTATGGTTTTTCACGCATCCAGTGTGAATTTCACACGAATTCAGCTATTCAATACGAGTTCAACCATATGTTCACTAGATTTTATGTAGTCTGAAAGATCTTAAATACATAAAACAGTGCAAAATATGTAGATTTTAATAAATTTAAATATTTAAATGGAGAATGCTGTGATTTTGACATTTGTTCACCATTTAAATTATGAACTAAAATTGACAGTAGTTGTGGTTCAAAAAGTTCTCTAAACTGCTTCTCTTAAATGCCGTTCTCTTAACTGCTTCTCTAAAATGCCGTTCTCTAAACCGTTCTCCTATTCATAAGACGACGATACAAAAAACTGTAAGGCGATTTGAGAAATCTGGAGAAGTAAAAGATAGATACCGATCAGGTTGACCGAAACGAGTTATCAATGACAACAAAACTTCAGATATAAGCAAAGTTTTGTTGAAGATCCACATACATCTCCAAGCAGGGTTGCACAAGTACATGATGTAGGTCATTCTTCAGTCTTACGTTTATTACGTAAAAATAAATTTAAATCATACAAAATTAACTTATTACAAGAATTAAGTGAAGATGACTTTGGTCGTAGATTAGAGTTTACTGAGGTAATGATGGATAAAATTGAAAATTATTAAAATTTCGTTAACAGAATATGTTTTTCCGATGAAGCAACTTTTACACTGCGTGGAAGTGTAAATCGACACAATTTAAGGTACTGGTGTGACGTAAATTCACACTGAAGACTGAATGCGTGAAAACCATACTCAAAGACCACAAAAATTAAATGTATGGTCAGATATAGTAGTTACTTATTCAATTGGGTAATTTTTTGTCGAAAGAAATTTAACGTCAGATAGTTGGTGTAAATATTCGGCGATATTTAGATGAGATATTTCCTGGACGATAAATTGGTAGACAAGGTAGAATTGAATGGCCTCCACGTTCACCCGATTTCAATCCTAAAGATTATTTTTATTAGGGATACTTGAAAAATTCAGTTTACAAAACTTAACCAGCAAGTCTTGCAGAGCTAAGGCAACGAATTATCAATGAATCTCGAATAATTTCTAGACAATCATGGAGAAATGTGGTAGACGCCTTCTACCATCGATTAGGGTGCTGTCAACTCACAAATTGAGCACATTTTGAACACTTAATAACGTAACTACTATGTTAAAAAATGTTCTAAACTATCAATGGTTACATTTTAATGTATTTGAAAATAGTTAGTATTAAAAAATTTATTGAAACAATTTAGGCGTTGCCAGACTTCGGTTTTATGTATTTATGACCTTCCAGATTACATAAAATCATAAGCGTTACATATGGTTGAACTCGTATTGAATAGGAGATTCCAATAATAACTGAATATACAGGGTGATGTATTTGAAAAACCAAAGTTACTAATAATATAAGAAAAACGGCAAATCTGGCAACATTGTAAATATCAAATATGGAATATCCGTATCCCAAAATAGGTGTACCTCAAATTTTGTACAATTATGATTAGCATTTTACGAGATAATTAGCCGTTTCCAGTCTTTTGGGCCACTCTGTATAAGATGAATGCAATGCTTATGTAATAAATATTTTACTTACGCCTAGCAAATTGCGTGGAATGTACCCTTCTCTGTCCCCTAAAAGAGACCACCACCATTCTCGTTCGTTCTCATCTCCTTTCCTCAGAACTGTTATTTGGTCTCCTTCTTTAAAACTCAATTCGTCAGGTTGTTGTGCCGTATAGTCGAATACAGAGTATACTATACCACCCGAGAGGATGCCTAACTTTTCTTGAACGCCTACAAAAAACAATATTATTAAATAAAGTACAAGGCATCTAATAATAACGATAATATTTTTTTTCTGTCAATAATATTTACTTACTGTATAAATACTCCGAACAACCGTCGAATCCCTCTTCATCTTCCTCGCATTTTTCTGCTGCAGTTTCATGGTCGCTGAGAGTCGTAGCAAAGATGCAAGCTCCATGTTCCACCAAAAATTTCACCATGGTCAAGTTGTTACAACTGGCTGCGCAATGTAGAGGCGTCCATCCATCGCTGTCTTGCGCGTTGACGTCGCAGCCGAACTCCACCAAGAATTTGACTAAAATAATAAACAAAAACACAGATAAGTAAGTGAGGTTATAAGGTTCATTTCAATGGTAGTAGGGTAGTTGCAAGTTTATGTGATATAACTCACCTATTTCTAAATGTCCAGCACAGATGGCGTTGTGTAGAGCCGTGATTCCTTCGTCGTTGGCAGCGCTGGGGTTTGTTACCTGCGTGGCCGTCTTCTTCACCAACTCCAACTCGCCTTCCAAACTTGCGTCTAACAATAAAGCCAGTGGATCGAAACTCACCCTTCTGGAGAGATTAGGTTTACCAGTTTGCTTCAAATTACCCTTTTTACATCTGCGTATGACGTTATCGTACCCCTTCTCTTCGTGATCAGCTTCGTCGGAAACGGACGATTTGTCAGTTTCGTCTTTGTCTTCTACGTGAGGTTTGTCTAAATTAAGCTCTGAAAAATTGTTAATCAAAGGCAGCGATTCTATTCGTCTGCTGGATAGGCCGTTTTGCATGGATATTTGGGATCTCAGTTTTGGTTGTTCGCTAAATGGTTGTTTCTTTATCGTTAGAGGCTTCGCCTTGATGATCATTTCGCTTTTGCTGATAGTTGTAGATGTTGAAATAGAAACTAAAAAATAAAAAAATAAGATAAGACCGAATCTACAATATGTTTTTTAGCCAACAGTAGACGGACTATGCCTGTAAAATGACTAATGAGAAGTCTTTTATTTAAAAAATCTTCCGAAGAACTGATTTATTAATTCAGCTATATAGTGAAAGGTTGTTTCAATCGGGTCCAAGTAGAAAATAGACACCGGATACCGAACCAAAAAAAATATAGAAGACACACATTGTCACGTGAAAATAATTGAGAACTATAGACTACCAATAATTCATGAATTATGAATGAAATTCTAAAGCGCTCAAGAAATATTACAGCTTTAATCAGTATTAGATGTTCTTTAACAAGAACAAGAAGAAGAGTTGCATTCCTTGACCCATAACCTTACAGATTTAGTGAATGTATCTGATATATGTCTCTCTCGAAATGGTTCTGGATGGTAATCCTGTACCTAGAAGATTCAGTTTTCTATCATCCAAGACTTTAAATAATATAAACAGAATTTCTACTTTCACGCCTAGTTTTAATTAATTGATAAGAAAGATTAGGAATATTCCTCGAAGGATAAAGGATAATGGAACGATGAACGAGAAAATAATTTCTATTCAAAATAACTTACTTGGTTTAGTAATAAGACTTTCCAACTTCTTGCCCAACAGCTTGTCCTCAAAAGCTTCGCCGAATGGAACGACAGGTGGCGGCACCACGATTGTATTGTCCTCGTTCAAACCTTGCGTTTGTCTCGGTGGAGGTTTGATCGCCGGTTTCGGAGGCAGTGCTGGTTTCGGTACTTTACTTGCTATTTCCGGAGTGTTACTTAAGGAGTACTACTACTCTGTGGCGGTGATAATACTAGCGAAGGAGAAGATTGCACAAGGTTGTTGCTAGTACTTGTATGGTTGTAGGTGCTGCTAGAAGTAGAGGTGTTGCTTATAGATATCGTTTGTGGTTCAACAGGTTGAACCTTGATGGAGTTGGTTTGATACACGTTCGACAAAAGACTAGTGTGGTGGACTGATGTTGGTGCAACGCTGCTTATGGGTTTCTGAAAATAAAAGCATTGTAAATGAAATTTAGTATGTTCCTGATGAAGCCGATATTCCGTAGAGAGATACAACATACTTGGAAGGTCGATATTGCTTTAGCAGAATATCTTTATGCTGTTTGTCTGATTTTTAATTGTAATTTTTGTAGGTCACTTATATTTTACATGTGAATGTTAATTCTTTATGTGTATTACCTGATATGCAGGTGTCAAAGTACTGGAACTAGAAGGGGTTATTTCTCGTTCTCGTTCTCTATGGTCTTCACTACCATTAACTACAATATCCTTGTTATTCTCACTATTCGTTTTCAATAAGTCGTGTTGATTTAGGGCCGTTGCTATATTTCTATTCACCATGTATAGTGGGGCGCTGTGTACAGTCATGTGGCCTAAAACAGAATATTATTGAGTAAAAATAAATAACTAAATAACAATGTATGTTATTTTTAATTAGATTATATATGCAATGAACAAATAAAGCATATAGGCCAAGGAGCAAAAAACTGGATCTTGAAACTTTATAACAATTGCTGCAAAGTCTGCAAAATTCCAAAAACATGGAGGAAATCTAAAGTAATCGCCTTGTTGAAACCAGGAAAGGACCCAGGAAATCCCAGTAGCTACAGACCTACTTCGCTGTTTTCTACTTTTTTATTATTAGAGCATTATGTGATGATGATGAATTAGGGGAAGATGAGCAATAGGAAAAAGACGCATTTCGTGCCTGAGGAATCTTAGAGAATGGTTTAACTATAGCTTATTAAAGATATTCACAGCAGCAGCTACAAATTTATCATAGGTATGATGATATCTATCTTTAGAGTGAAGAAGAAACTTTTTAAGAAAAAGAGTCTGTTGATATACAACATTTTGGTACCAAGTAAAAAATGAATCACAAGAATTATTTATGCAAATAGTAGTATCATATATGGACCATACAGAGAGCTTTTACCCTCTCTTCATAATGACAAATTGACAAATCTGTTACCTGTGTGCATAATTACATTCTCGTTCGTAGCGTCTATTTGTTCTTCGTTGTTGTTGAGATTTTCCTCTTTGTTCGGCTTATTCGCGTTGTTCATGATGAGGTTCACCGTGAACTTCGTATTGTAAGGAAGCGTTTGATATTTCGGGTCCGTTTTCGACGCCGGGAAATCTTTGAGTAGCTCATTTTCGTCGGTTTTGGGAGGATACAGGTTTGGTATTTTGCTTCCCACGTCTTGGGACTCGAAGTTCGATTTGGGGGAGTCTTGGTCCTTCTTCGTATAGTATACTGGTTGATAAGGGTCATAGGTGCTCTGTAACTAAAAAAAGTAAATGTAATAAACTACCCTAGGCACGTAAAAAGGATGTTTTACAGTGTCGTAAAAACTGATTTAGTTTCAATAATAATCCTGAATTTTCAATATCGGTAATCAAGCGTCTCTGAACACACAAAAGATATCCAATACTTCAGGCTGAAATCTCTGATGCCCTTAGTTCGTAAACTGATGACTGTTACAAACGAAAATTTCTAATTAATCAAAACTGTTTGCTCAATCCCAATCACACAGAAGCGAGTCTTACACAATTAATTTTGGCGCTTGATTTTGATATTCAGTTCACAATATTGGGAGCCTAATAATACCCGGAGGCGTAAAATGATAAATACACGATACATTGTTTTTATTTCGAAGTTTAGAATTTAGATTCGACGCAAATTGGGAATGTTCATTAAATTAGCTCTATCGAATTATTAATCCGAAGTAATTAAAAATCTAATGATGTTGTTCCTACGTGAAAGCAATTTAATTCAATTGATTTAAGGAAAATATAAAACTGTATTGTTTTATCAATAAAATCAACATTGTGTTAATTAACAATGTTTAACAATGACGTTACAAGATACCATTTGAAGCAATACATACAGTAGTATACTTCATCTAATTTAGATAACGACTTACGTCATGATCTACGTCAGAGATCGAAGTTGACATAGTTGCCAAAGTATAAAAAAATCCTGACTCCATTTTAAATCAAATAGATCACATAATTATTGCAAAAGTATTACCATCGCTGGTAATTATTTACTAAGCCGGAACGCCTTAAAAATGCCCAATTTTTTGTGGGCTTACCCGAAAAAGTGAAAAAAACCTCAAATTTTAATGTTTTCTTTGCTTTAAACTATTAAAAGTGCCCAAATAATCAAAAAAATTAGAAAAAATACCAAAAAAAGTATTATTAACCAAAAAAAATTACATAAAAATCAAAGAAAAGTATATATACATGTCTTAATAAAAAAACGTAACTAAAACATATTAAATATCACTATTTTTACTGTAAAATTACGAAAAAATGCGTAAAATTGTTTAAAATAATAAAGATTTTTAATATTTCAAAACAATATGGCGGCCATGCGCAAGAAGTTAAATTTTATGTACATTTGACATTGTTGCCAGTTTTAATTTCATATTTTCTTTACATTTTATTATTAAAAATGCAAACCAATAAACCAAATCTAACCCAATAAGAAAACATGACAATAAAACTAAACCAACCTAACCTAACCTAACGCCTCGTAAAAAAGCAGTAATAAGAATAAAATTTTGTAATATAATTGAAAATCAAATTTTTTATTTTTCATAAGAAAATATTATAAGAAACGTAACCAAACCTAACCTGACCCTTGTAAAAAAAGCTATAATTTTCAGTTAAAAGTAGGTAATAATAAAATGTTATTTTAATGTCCAATTTGAAATTCATTAGAAAACATAATTTTGAATAACTATGGCAACACTGGTTAAAATTACCATTTTGGCAGTTGTCATTTCTGTCATTTCTTGTTGTTTCATGGTAAATAATGGCGAATTATGGCGGTGGCTTTTAAAAATCGGGCATATTTTAATTACGAAATTACATAAAAAATAACGTCTTGCACCGCATAAAAGTCATTGCACAATCATAAGTAAGTGAAGCAGAATTCATTAATATAAATTTCATCTCCGTAAACATGGTTCCAGCTTATTACACTAGTACCCCATCGCTTTACAATGACTATTTAAATTCTTACGTAACATTTTTTAAATAAAACACACTAATTTTGTTTTAAAGGAACAAATTTTATTAAATAGGAACAAATATAAAACAAGAGATATTCATTTTAAAATTCAAAATAATAAAGTACAAAAAGTGTCAACACCGCAACTGTCTAGTAAGTGTTACCAATTTATGCCAAATTTTTACCTTCGTTCGATTAAAGTTACAGTGTGTTCCGAACAAATGTTCTTGATAAAAACGCTTTATAATGTATTTATACAAATTAAATGAAATATATTATTGTGTATTTCTTTAAGTTAACACTAATAGAAATTTTTAAATATTATTTCTACGCGCATATAATAAAATATGTCTAGTGGCTGTAATGCCAATATACTCGGTAAAGTGATTCTAAAAAGAACACACCTAAACCCTAAATATTTCATGTTGGTATCCTATTAAATTGTATCCTATTAAATATGTGCTTTCCTATTAAATTATTAAAACTTAGTACAGTTGCTACTTGTTTTAGCAGGATTGGTTTTCAGTTATGTCCTGATATTTTTCTACTTGTTCTATCACGTTACCACCAGAAATTCAACCTTTGATGTTTATTTACCAATCCTGTCCACTGAGTTAGAAAAGATATCTATATTATATTATGCAAAAAAACTATAGAATTATCTCCCTTTACCACATACATCACAACATCTTTCTCCAAGTTTCTTAAAATGACAAAAGCCTATCTATCTGAAAGACCGGTTGAGTTTACCGAAAGTACAAGCTGAATATAGCTGCAAATGTCAAAAATATTTTGGCTTGGTAGTGTTGGCAGTGTTGATTATACTATTTTATGAATTCTGCAATTTTTAATTTACATGGAACAGTAACGAGTAGATATTTGCCTCTTTCTAGATTAATTGTAAACATCTGTTGTAATATGGCAACTGCTGATTAGACGATTGCCAAATCTATCCCCTAATATACCAAAGGGTAATTGCTAAAAAAAATTTTAATAATTAACTGCAATTAATCTCCAAAGAAACAAATATTTATTCATTGTTGTTTTATATAAATCAAAAATTGCATAATGCATAACATAATATAAATAAAATGTACTCTTCTAAAGCTTTATTTTTTTTATATTTGAAGCATACAGCATCTACATTATAAAAACATACCAACACTGGTATACCGAAATTTTTTGTTCCATGTTTGACATTTGTGGCTATAATCAGTTTGTACTTTCGGTAAACTCAACCGAAAGACCATATTATTCAGTGGAAGAGTTTCTTAACGAATAACTAAGACATTGCAGTACCTTTATCTAAAAGTAACTAAAGTATTTGTTATCTATATTTGGGTATCATATGCAGCAACTTCTTATTAGTTCATAAGGTTTTATTATGCAATTTTTGCAACGGATTGTTTATTATTTTTGTAATATTTACATTGGCTTTTCACAGCCCTTTTTCCACTGGGAAACTGAAGAGAATAGATGAAAGTGGACCGCCTGGCTTTACTCCTTCATTTACTAGGAAATTTTCCTTTTTTCCTAGTTTTCAAGTAATTTATACATTTCTTTCTTTTTGACTCAGTCAAATGCTTGTTTAGAGTCTATAAATAATATCATGATCGGTTTTTAGTATTATTAGCTCTCCTTCAGTAAGAAAATTTGTTCTGTTGTGCTTCTTCTTCTCTATAACCCGTATGGTATTCACTAATTATATCTTCCATAGTATATTCTTTATATGCGTTACCAATATTTGTATGCAGCGTAAGATGCGTAGATAAGTTCGAAAATAACTTACCTTAATATCAGGATGAGTATTTATATTGTTAATTTGATGAGTAGGTTGAGGTTGGACGGGGATATGGTTATAGGGCTCGACAGCAGCAATGTTGCCTCTCGATAAGCCTTTCCGATCATTGTTTTGCTGGTGTTTCCTCGCAAAAGCCGCTTGGTTGGTCTGATCTTGATTTCCAGTTAACCTATAATAAAAAATACTCGATGTAAGATATATACATTAGTTCGTATAATAAATATGTTTTTGTTTTAAAATAATTAAAAAAATATGGCTTGTCTGAAAAACTGTTAAATGATATATCTAAAGAGGGTAGTAAATTTACAATTATGGAATAAATAAAAGTCAATATTATAATAATTACTTTAAAAATCGATTGCAGAATAAATGAGAACATACCAAATCGGAGTTTGCCAGTATAACAAGCATGATAAACTGAGTATGGAAGTTCTTTGGTTGGGGGAGCAACATGACTCGTTCCAATGACTAATAGACAACGTAGCTAGGATGTATCTACAACATATATTATGGGTATCCAGGACTATATGATATGTGTTAACGTAAACATGAGCATAATATAGTTTATTTATTTATTTTGCTTCAATCACAGAGCTGTTTAAGTCATCATACTGAAGAAGTGCTACTTGCAACTGCATTAGTACGAGTAAGAGACTCAAAAGGAAACACACAATTGATGAGAGCATTGATTGACCAAGGCTTGCAGTCATCATTCATTGCAGAGCAGGCCGCTACAAGTCTCGGAATAAAAAGAGAGACTGTACAGGCCAAAATATCTGGAATTAGCAATGAGGATCAAATGATGTCGAAATGGAGCGTGCCATTAAACTTAGAGGCATATTTCAAAAATGAATTTAAAAAGAAGACCGAAGCACTTGTGCTACGAAAAATAACAAAGAATCTACCGGAGAAGGAGATACAGATAAAAGAAAGAAACCATAGGAACTTAGTCCTGGAGGATCCAAATTTTAATGAGACAGGTCCAATAGAGATTCTGTTAGGAGCCAAAGAATATAGTTTGATATTACTGGACGGAGTAGATCGAACAAAGGATGGTTTGCTAACTCAAAATACTAAATTGAGTTGGATAATATCCAATGAAGTTGGATAATGGAATATGCAAGAGAATGTACGAATACATACGAAAAAATATTAAACCTTCATTACAATCATGGACACTTCATAGATCTTATAAAACCTGGATAAATAGAGTCAATTATGTTGAATACTACAAAGTTCCTTCCATAAGGAGTAAATATAAGAAGGCAGCCAATAATAGATATGGCTGTACAAAATGAAGAAGGAGACATCACCATTATTGGCTATTTCTTAATAATTGGCAACACTGAACACTCCATACAACCTACTGAGAGTCACAGCTCTTGGTCCCAAGGAACCTACTTGCAGACCTGTAATATAGTAGAGTACATGATAAAGGAAGCCAGTTGGTTGAAAATAAGCACACTGAACCTCTGGTTAGTCATTCTACCATACGCTATAAATTTAGCTATAATGTGCGATGGTTCTCGATCTGAAAATATAAATCAAAAGAGTTTTATGCTACCATCAAAATGCGTTCCTCAGACCTAGAACATAACATTACTCACATCCAGTAATGGATTGGAAACAGCAATTGGAAGTTACCTAAAGACCCATTGAAGAGCTTATGCAGAGGCCAATAATAAAACATCAACATTTCCAGGTATAATATAGACATTCGGGGAGGTGAGTTGCCAAATATAGTACTTGAGGCAGAGCAGTTGGACCAAGACATCCTAACACCTCATCCAGCACCTCAAAGACATATGATGCCTTAACTAAATTTACGTAGAACTTTCTGGATAGGCCCACCTAGATCATTTTCACTTAATGAACTTAGATTTGAATTAAATAGTTTAACTGAATCATAAATTCTAAATATTCAAGTTATAGGTAGCACTACTCGGATGAGACAATTCAAAAATGTATTTAGATATTTTCTTTTCTTCGTCGTCTGGTTTTTATAGAGTGGCTACTTAGGGTGATTAGCATAACAAAATACAAACACTACATGTCTCGAACTTGTGGGGATTCTCAAATAAATATATATTTTAAAAGAGCGTTGGAAGTGTAATATGGATTAAATATATGTGATTTCTGTTTAAACTATGCGTCTATATGAGGATATATATTATTGCTCAACTAAAAAAATCGAAATGTCATATTTATGGACATTTGGGATTTCTCATATCAGCCACTCGATTAAGACTCAATATATTCTCTGTACTCTGTAATGCAATGTGTATTCATATGTAAAAACTGTAAAAACACAATATATAAAAAGAGTAGGAGATTGAATGGCTTCAAGGAGACATATTGTGGGTATTTATTACTGAATTACATTCACGATGTTATTTTTAAACCGTATTGATTACTGGGTAAGCTATCAGTAATTTTAGACGTATATACAAGGTGTAATCCTTCTTCTTAAGGTGCCGTGCATTTCTGCGTAGGCGTCCACCGTACATCGTCTTGTCAGGTGAGATGTTAAATATTCTGGATTAAATAATTCTGTTTTTAGCAGCATTGCGAAGCATTTCATAGCTGTGGATTCCTGTCCATCGTCGAATATTGCGCAGCCATGACATTTTTTTTACGTCCGAGACCTCTCCTACCCTCTATCTTCCCTTCGAGTATCAGTTGCTGAAAAGTGTATCGTTCTCCTCGTATAATGTGCCCCAAGTATGCAGTCTTCTTACTTTTTTACATAATTAAAAAGTTCCCTATCCTGTAAGCCCGCTCTTCTGAGGACTTCCTCATTTCTGACCCTGTCCGTCCATGATATTCTGAGCATTCGACGCAGGCACCACATTTCAAACACTTCAAGTTTGTTAATGGAACTGGCCTTTAACGTCCATGCTTCCATTCCGTACAGGAGAACAGGCTACACGTAACACTTAAGCATCTTGTATCGGAGGTTGAAGTCCAATTTGCGATCAGTCAGAAACTTACGAAGCCTCAAAAAAGCATTTCTGGCTTGTTCAACTCTGCTCTTTATTTCATTCTCGGGGTCCCAACCCTCATTCAGCAAACATCCCAAGTATTTGAATTGCCTGACTTGTTCGATTTCTTCTCCAGAGACATATATCTTTGCGTTGGGGTAATCATTTCTACTTATAATCATTGATTTTGTCTTCTTGATATTTATTTTCAAACCCCGAGCTTCACTTGCAAGAGTTAGATCATTTAAAAGGCATTGAAGATCTTCGATGTTATCTGCCACTATGGCTGTATCATCGGCATACCTGATGTTATTAATAAATATGCCGTTAACTTTAATACCCTTATTAGAGTCTTCCACTGCTTCTGCGAAGGCTTTTTCTACGTATAAATTGAACAGCATTGGTGACAGTATACAACCTTGCCTTACTCCTTTTTTAATGGAGAAATCTTCTGTTTCGTTGGAATTTTGAAGACGTACTGTTGCTGTCTGATTCCAATACAGATTGACGATGATTCTTATATCCTTTGCATCCAATCCCAGCTCTTGTAGGTATTTTATCATCAATTCGTGTTTTACATTATCGAATGCTTTCTCGTAATCGATGAAACAGATAAAAACATCCTTTCTTTGATCTAAACAGTTCTGTATCAATGTTTGCATACTAAAGATCGCTTCTCTCGTGCCAAGTCCATTTTTGAAACCAAACTGACTCCATCCACTGACCTCTTCACATTTCTTAAACAATCTAGTGTGAAGTATTCTCAGGAAAAGTTTTAAAAAGTGACTCATTAGGCTTATTAGTCGGTGGTCCTTGCAGAAGTTCGCACGTGGTGTTTTTGGTAGGGCGATAAATGTAGAAGGTGTAATAATCTACAGTATATATACACATGGTGTGTCAGAAGAAGTGGAACGATCGAATATTCCGCGATGTTTACATCGGATCGAAAAACTGAAAACACTTGTTCAATATTTAAAGCACAATTAAAGGTCAAAATACGTTATTATTATTAAAAACGCTTCCTTTAGGCGAAGGTACGTACCAAAGATATGAAAGGTGGCAGAAATTATAATGACACTAAAACCACGAAAACCTCCACAAGAAGCTTTCTCATATAGGCCTATTTCACTGTTACCTGTCATGTCTAAATTATACGAAAAATTAGTCTTGAAGAGACTAAAACCGATTATGGAGGAAAACAATCTAATTCCTAATCATCAGTTTGAGTTTAGAGCAAGCCACTCAACGATAGATCAGGTGCATAGAATAACAGATATAGTGGAAAAAGCTCTAGAAGAAGGAAAAGTCTGTTCCGCAATTTTCCTCGATGTAGCGCAGGCTTTTGACAAGGTGTGGCATGACGGATTATATCATAAAATGAGATGCTACTTTCCAAAACAATATTCTGAACTACTAGAATCATATATATCCGACAGATACTTTCGAGTTAAATATGAGGAAGCTTATTGAGAATTAAGAGAAGTTAAAGCTGGAGTTCCACAAGGAAGTCTCCTGGGGCCAGTGCTATACCTGCTCTATACCATTTTATGATTTTGTAGGAGTTGGAATTATTAAAACATATAAAAAACATATAAAAAGCCGACACTGGACTTCACAAACACGTTAAAAAATTGAAAAAATTTTTGTCATGGTACGGGTTTAAGACCCGACCATTGATTGATGTGAGGACGTAGACTGAATAGAACTAGTGAAATCAAATGTCGGTCCTTTTAAACGATTTTTCAAAAGTGACAGGTGACAAATGTCATATATAGGAAATAGAGATTGTTTTTTAATTCTTACAAAAATATTTAGTAGTTTGGAATTACTACTAGTCATCAAAGACTTTCTAAAAATTAAGTTTTTAAAATTATATGTGTTCATCACATCATACAGAATGATATTAATTTGTAAATTCACTCAAGTCATTGCTCAAGGTCAATGTATGTTCAATCTGACAGCTATCCTTAAGGAACAAGGGCTCAAATTGTTCAACAACACTATAAAGAAGAAACCTGGTATTAATGTTATGTTATCTGATACTTAAGTGTATTAAGAATTGTATGTCTTGATGGAAAATTGTAAGAACTTTGCATAGAAAAATTTTTTTTTTTAAGAATGTATTTTCATGTTTCAATTAAGAACAACTGTCAAATGAATTACAAAATGTTGTAAATTTTAATAAAGT